ATGTGAAGATTACAGGCATATTAAAGTGGACCTGAACTGTAGTTTGAGAGGGTATGGTCTGTTATAGGCGCAGTGATCATTACAGGCGGGTAATTTTCTTGACCAACTGAGCCAACTGTTAATTCCTCAAGATGCATTCTGCTTCATAAAATTAGTTATTTGCTCATCATATATTTTATATTCCGGACTTATTTAGTGTTTGATAAATTCTGTAGTTGATGATGTAGGCCCTAATGAATCATATTACTTTTCGAAACGAGTGTCAAATGGAAATAACTGCCAAAACGGTAAGATACTTGCATAACCGAACTAATTGTTTTATGTTTTCTAGTATTTTTTATTACTAGTGGGGTGGGACTAAGTCCCTTGCACTGCGGCCACTTCTGGCCTATTGTACCAGCCCCAGACGATAGGTGAGGGTGATTGTGGAGCAATTGGTGGAATGAAGATTGGCAGGGAAAACCGAAGTACTCGGAGAAAACCCGCCCCAGCGCCACTTTGTCCACCACAAATCCCACTTGATGAGACCCGGGATCGAACCTGGGCCGCTGCGGTGGGAAACCAGCGACTTAACCGCTTATGCTATGGCGTGGCCATGTTTTCTAGTAAGTTGATGCTTGCTTTAGTTGGAAATTTATCTTAGTTGCGGAAGCGCAAGAAATCAACACAGGTTTCATTCTGTTTCATTGAAAATAAGATTGTAAACCGTTGTCATGGAGGGAGGTCAGGTAACGGTGTTGGTAGCTTCTGTGCACGGCTCCACGTGTCACGCTCCAGAGATAAAATGATGTCGAATGTAGAGGCAGACACAGGTACAGCGGGCGATTATCCCCAGAATGCCACAGGGCCTCTCTTTGGGAGCACGGTTGACCTGATTTAGACACATTAGGAAGCGAAGACCAAGGATGGAAATGGAACGGGAAAGTACGAGTACAAGGACTGATCGGGTTCTTTCCGTATCGTTTGGCGGGGTTTCCACCCTTCTCTTACCACGGCTGGCTGGCCTATCACTCTTTGTAACGGCTAACGAATTTCGGAGATATTTTGCTACACCCGTACGTCCCTGTTGGTAGACTTGGCTTTTGTTCTTCAATTTAGTCGAGTTCGCTAACTTAGAGGTTGCAGGATGTTGTAGGGGTTGGTCAGCGCCCTTAATTATAGTATGTTACCCACCCTCCCACAATACAGGTCCAGCCACTGCCCCGCAACTTCTTGCCATACTTCTCACACGCAACACAGGGAACACGGTGTGTATTAATATGACACTCCGCTGTAGGATAAGCTTGGGGGCGGGGGGGGAACCTTTGTTTTTTTCCGGATTACTGAGGTTTTACGTACTCGACAGGCTAATAATCGGTGAAGACAACTTTTCTGTAATGTGACGCCGTGTACGCACATCTCAGAAGAGAGTTATCTTCAACTTAGCCATCGCCCAAAGATAATATTGTCACGTGTTGGGTATATTGCACGCGACAAGTAACTTCACGCCTTATTTGATATAGCGAATTTATTGCACCTCCGCTCTTACACTCACACAATTCACAATCTCACAACTACTACTGCTATCGGCAGTATCACAAGTTATCACATCAAATCTTCCAACCACGCGTTCGGGTCTTCTTCCCGCGACTGCTGCTATAGTTCAACTCACTTCGGCGGCTGCTACAATTCAACTGACTTCGTCCAAGGCAAGTCATATTGCGACTGATGGTCAGTCAGTCAGTAAGCCCTGGTGTCGAGCCCCGTCTTGGGCTCATGACCAGATATTTATTACTGTTGAACGTTACGGTTTTGTTTTTTGTAGCGCGCCCTCTCAGACGAGAGGACGTATCTGTCTTTTTTACATGCTACTGGGTCTTGCCAGCGTAGTCTTTCTCGGGTCTGAGTCCCTTGAGACTCGAGAACATATTTTACTGTCTCAGATTTGAGACTTCCCTTCAAAGTCAAAGTCACATAGCGACTGACGGCCTATCAGTCAGTAAGTCTTGGTGTCGAGCACCCTCCTAGGGCTCATGACCACATATTAATTACTGTTTGACAGTTACGGTCTTATTTCTGTGGGGCGCCCTCTCTGACGAGAGGACGGGTCTGTCCTTTGTATATGCTGCTGGCTTTTGCCAGTGCAGTCTTTCTCGTGTCCGAGTCTCTTGGGACTCGCGACCATATTTTACTGTCTCAGATTTGAGACTTCCCTTTTCGTCGCCTCCTACTACTCGCAGGGTCACGGTGGACGTATTCGACCCCGCCTCCACACGGGGGAACTGACTTCGTAGGCAGTGTGGTTCTCTTATAAACCCTCAGCCAAACGGGAAAACGCCTCGCTTACTTGTTGCCTAGTCGCCGTGTTTACAAAGGCGTTGGGCAACTCTGTCAAGAGTTGTTTACTGCTACATAGCAACCGCGGCATCCCCCGCTACGTCACCGTGGGGGAGGGGATGTAGTGTTGACTGGCCTGTTACTGTAGTAGCGACAGCGCCCGATGTTGTTACGTCACCGCTGGCAGGGGAAGGGATGTCCTCCATAGCGCAATACGTCACAATATGTATTTCAGACTCGCCGCATTGCAACGACTGGCGTACATATAGCCGAAGAAATACTGTACTGCAAACCTGGTAAGACATGCGTTATGTTGTGATTTGTTTTACGATGGTATCAGCATTATCGTCGAATGGAGGGATGATTGCTTAATGATAAATTGGAAAAGATGTAATCGACATATTGTCCTCGTTTGCCTGGAGGGATTGATGAAAACCATGAACAATTTAAAATGTCACGATAGCTAATGTCTTAGTCAACATTCGAATTTCGAACCTCCCGAGAGCAAGTGTAGAGCGTCGCCAATACACATCCTGCTCGGCATACAATCCTACTTACTCAGACCATTGTTTTGATTGCTAGTGGGGTGGGACCAAGTCTCTTGTACTGCGGCCACTTCTGGCCTATTGTACCAGCCCCAGATGATACGTGAGGGTGATTGTGGAGCAATTGGTGGAATGAAGATTGACAGGGGAAACGAAGTACTCGGAGAAAACCTGCCCCAGCGCCACTTTGTCTACCACAAATCCCACTTGACCAGACCCCAGGATCAAACCCGGGCCGCCGCGATGGAAAGCCAGCGACTAACCGCTTGAGCTATTGCGCGGCCCTACTCATACCATAATTTATACCAACTGGTCTTCTGTGTCTGGTATTCTGCAGAGTATTGTGACATACAGTATTGTAAATGGCACACACTTGCTTATCAGTACATTGCTCCATTGCGATGAATGGTACGGGAACGGCAACGGGCGTTATTGTCTTCAAGTGCAGTTAAAGCTTATCGCAATGTCGGTGTGTATCTTGTATATGTTAACTGTCGTATGAGTCACGGCGAGCGTGACTGTATTGTGCCTTGCTGCCTAAAAGTCGGAATATCTGAACATGGCAGGCGTCCATTGCTAGATAACGGCTTGTTAAAACACGTGGTCAGGACAACAAGCTGGAACAGACCATTGCTGAGCAACGCTAGTTAAACACTGCCTAAGTTACGGAATATTGGAGCCAGACAAGGAATTATCCATTTGGCTGGGAAAATGTTCATGTACGTTTCCGAGACAACACATACATAATAGACAGTTACCACGAAAGTGAAAAACAGGACTAGTGCAGTTCCCGCGGCAATGAATACACTAGCAATCGGTGCATTGAACGCATGAAACGTAACTCTTGAATAAGTTGACTCCTAAGCCGTCCGACTATAGATTAACAGACTACTCCTAAGCCGTCCGTCTATAGATTAACAGACTAAGGTTCATTATTGTGTTTGCAAAGGAATGTCACAGACTGCCTTGAACCAGATGAATCCCCTCCCCCCACAAACACACAGATACACTGACACGCAGTATATTTAAAATCTGTTTTGATATTATCTTACAGAATATGTTTCTTCTCTCCTCTCGGATTTTCTAATTAAAATTTTGCATGTATTTCTCATCTTCCCAATGTGCTGTGCTACATGCCTTTGATTGATCTTTTTTTATGAGTACAAATTGTGAAGCTTTTGTTTACGTAATTTTTTCCATTCTCCTCCTATTTCCTCTCACTTATATCCATATTTTCTTGTCAGCACTTTTTTTGAGACACGCTGTACTTCTCAGTATTGGGTGGGGGCCAAGGCATCTGTCTTCACTGGATCTTTAAAAACAAATAAAAATGTACAAGGAAAAAGTAAGAAGAATACATAATTGTTCCAAATATTTTAACTCAGAATGAAAAATCATTGTTACTTACTTTTAAATATAGAGATCAACAAATTTAAGGTGTGGCACCATGCTACAAGCCTTAATGTCGCAGGTTCAGTTCCTAATGAGATCATTGGATTTTTTCAATTTACCTAATCCTTCCAGCTGCACTATGGTCCTGGGGTTGACTCAGCCTCTAACAGAAGTGAGTACCAGGAATCTTCTGGGGGGGTAAAGGGTGGTTGGCTCATAAGGCTGACATCCTTACTGCCATCTGTGGGTGGGGGTGGGGGGGGGGCTTCATGACCTGTTACAGGGATAGCTTTACCTTTTTTTTACAAATGTAAGTTGAACCTTCAAAAATATTTTTCAATGGCCAAAACATGAATTTAAGTTCTCTGATTCCCTCCCTTGGGAATAGTCATGTCAATGTCCATGGAAGTATATGTGAGGATTGAAATGTGCAAAGCATAGCAAAGGCTAAAACTTTGCAACACTGCATCGTTGTATAGATTAATGTACAGGTCCCTAATTTATATTGCTACAAGCGGGCTTGGAAAGTGACCTGAGAAAGCCTGGTTCAAGGAAACTTCCAGTGTGCTTACAGCAGCATGGCCGCATCATAATGAAATCCCTGTGCTACGAAGTACAGNTTTGACCTTTTAGCCCACCCCCAATTCCCCCCCCCCCCCAGACTAACAAGTGATGAATTTTGTTTACAAAAATGACTCATGGATAATGTGCCAGCGAAATAACTTCTTCATTCTTTAACATTTGCAGGAAAAGTGGACTAGATGATGGAAAGACAGAAAGTGTGGGTCCCGGACCCTGTTGAAGGATTTGTTCTTGGGACAATTCATGACATTGGGCACAATGGAGAAGCAACAATTTTTACTACAGATTCCAAGCACTCCAAGCTTACCTACAACTTGGAAAGGGTGTACTATGCAGAGCAACATGACAAAGCAGATGTTGAAGATAACTGTGAGCACCATTGAATTTGGCAGTAATGTTTATGTGACATCATCATTATCATTAGCAGCAGCAGCAGCCACATTATCCTTAGTCTTCCATTCATAAATGCTGAAACTCATTTTGAAAATCTTGTTTGATGTAAAAAATTAGTATGATAGAAAATATTAGTAAATTATTTTGGTATGACATGTGATCATTTATAATTAATTCATGAGATTATATCATTGATTCAAGGTGATTAGATGCTCAAACTGGTTTATTCAACCAGATATTAATATGTATTACTGTACCTGACATAATTCACTTATTAATTGTTTGATTATGAGAAGGTAACATTTCCAGATGTAAAGCATAATCCAATTGATCTATTGCAATATTACAAATCTGTAAAATTACCATGGTTACTGATTATTTTATGTTAAGTGGTGCAACGTATGTGCTCTGATATTAGTACTGCTGAAAATATATAAAACACTGTCATGGCATTTTTGTGTTGTTTCATGAAATTTGATCAGTTGTTTCAAGACACATTCAGAGCCCGGTCAGACTTTTTCTTTTCTTCTCGGGAATCAGGCTAGTAAGGTTGACAATAGAGAGTGCATCACAAAAATTTCACAAGCAATACTTTCTGAAATACTTTTGCTAAGCATCAGTCACACTGGTTGATAGGCATGAAGGACTGGATAATTTGTAATAGCTGCAAGCATATTATTAACTGAAACTAATTGTTCTAGGTGCCTTAATGTATCTCAATCCAGCTACTTTACTGAGCAACATCCGCACTCGATACAAGAAAGACAAGATTTATGTGAGTAATCATTTGTTTCTAGTAGCATAATAAATATTATACAGGGCTACTATAAGTGATTCATTCGTTTTTAAAACGCTATATTTTCCAAAGCAATACACATACAAATATGATTGATACATAAAAAGAACCGTAAACTCACCATGTCTTCTTCACACTCTACAAATGTTCTATGTGTGCCCCTTGGGTCACACGACACATGTCCAGGCGGTAGTCGAGCTCGTTCCACACATTTTGTAGCATCATCCTGTCAATGGTCATCACTGCAGCATCGATGCGTTCCCTCAGCTCTACTAGTGTTCTTGGCAGTGGGGGTATGTAAACACGATCCTTAATGTACCCCCAAAGGAAGAAGTCACAAGGCATTAGAACAGGTGATCTGGAGGGCCAAGTGAACAGACCTACGTCATCCTCGCCGACACGACCAATCTAGCGATGCCGAAGTTCGCTGTTTAGATAGCGACGAACATTGCCGATACCACCGCAAAATGTTTTGTTTACATGGCGGTTCTTTTCCGTACTCTCTTTTGAACGTGCGTTGCACTGCTATAACAGACGAACATCTCGCATATTCCAACAAACAAAAACTTTTTTATTGCTTTGTCGCCATTTTGTAAAGGCACTGAACTTCTGATGCCAACTGGTAAACATAATACAAACTTAGTGAGTTTACGGTTCTTTTTATATAAGAATCATATTTGTACGTCTAATACTTTGGAAAATATAACGTTTTAAAAACGAATGAATCATTGATAGTAGTCCTGTATAAGATATTAAACCATTACAGTGAACAAATACAGTGAAGTCATCTTGGGCATATTAATGCAGGTAACTGTGTGAAGGGACTTCATTCATTAAATTTCATTGTGACAGTGAATAGGCATGAGACAAGTTACTCTTGATTCATTGACTTTTCTTTACAGACATTTGTAGCCAACATTCTAATCGCTGTCAACCCATACTGTGAAATTAAAGATTTGTATTCTTCTAAAACAATCAAGAGCTATCAGGGAAAATCTCTGGGTGTTCTTCCTCCTCATGTTTTTTCTATTGGTATGTATGACTCAATAGTAAAAAATTGTAATTTAAACACAATTGAATAGTATATATTTTTTCAGAATGTAAACTGGTTTTAACATCATTAAGGTAACTTAAATTTGTGTTTTAGTTACAAGACAGGGAACAAAAGTAAGTAATTTAGTATGATCAGGTAAAGTTGTTAAATTATGCTATGTGCAATGAAGACATTTTGGGCGAACAGAGGCATTGCTACAGCAATTCATAACCTCACCATTATGTGGAAGCGAGTGGCTGATTTCGTGCCTGGTAATTTTACTCCTACAAGGAAGAGTGCTAGTTGCCAAAGGGAAGGAGCGCCCTGAGAAGCAAACCCTGACTCAGAACTCATTCAGCTGATAGCCTAGTCACTATGCTGGCTAAGCTATATTGACAAGCAGTCGTTAACAGTACAGACCCTTCATCCCTTCAATGAATTTCACAGTCCTTTAAAAATCATTTTCTTAATGATTTTGAAAAATTTTGTTATGTATACTTTTGTATGAAAAGCTATAAAATTGTCACGTCACATATATGAATAGTACACCAGGACTGAGAAAAATGATGTGAGGTAGTTGTTGGTGTGTATCCTATATATAGCACTAGCTGAAGTTTCTGTTCTTCATCTGAGTATGGGCACTTATAGCATGTTTCAATAAAAGTAGTTATATGTTCAAATGAGGTACCTTAATAGGTTTGTATACTCCAACATCATTTTTACATGACACCCTACCAAACTAAATTTATTTTGAGGTTTAAGGCTATCATTCCCAGTCCAGTATTAAAATAGAATATATTTTTACTAATATTGGACATTGTTCAGCAGAGCGCTCTCATGTGAATATGTCATAATGAAGTAGAATGAAGTTAAGTTTCTTTAATTAGATTGTCAGATTCATTTTGACACTGAGCTGAAACAGGTTTTCTTGCAAATGTTGGATGGAGTTCATTGAATGTGTGGATAGTGTTAAGCAATGAGACTGACTGACAAAAATATTTTCACAGCGGACAAGTCATTTCGTGACATGAAAGTCATGAAGCAGTCTCAGTCAATTATAGTATCTGGAGAGTCTGGAGCAGGAAAAACAGAATCAACCAAATACTTGTTACGCTATTTGTGTGAGCTCTGGGGAACAACTGCTGGACCCATTGAACAGAAAATCTTAGATGGTAAGTAAGGTATGCAGTATTCTGAAAGCCATGTAGCAAGCAAATAAAAGGGTCTCAGATTACTGGGTTTTCGGACTTTGTCCATCATCTGGTATTTTAAGAAAATGTGCTACAGACATGGGATGTAAACGTACCTACACCTAACATGTGTCATACTGTTAGAAGTTAAGAATTAAAATAGTGTGAATGTGTGAGAGGTTTGGAGTTTACAAACTGTGGAATGATTAATGGATTCTAGCACCTCACTCGTAAGCAGAAACACTTCACCTGGTCCGCCAGTTTCCAAGGTTCCAATGATGACGTTTGCCATGTAGCGAGCCTCCATATTGCAGGTCTCATCAGTAGAAATGAAAATCTTCTTCCTAATCATTTCCAAGATACTGTTGTAACACTGGGAAAGGTAGTTCTTCCTGAATGTGGATTCATCAGGGGTGGAAAGACCACAGTTTACTTCCAGAAATTTTTTCAGTTTTCCATTGTTCAGAGTCCAAAACGGAATATTTGCAGACGCCAGAGCATCACACAGATCTCTGAAAAAATCCGATGACTTATTTCCGCCTTCAGATGAACACTGTTGCAGTAACATTTGCACAGATTTCTTTGTGTTCGAAATTTGCACTGCTCGTATATGCTTGTCGCGGCCGATATGTTGCTGTACCGTGAATCTTTTTTCTGCCGCTACTTTTGTGTCACATATCTTGCAGTATAAAATGTCACTGTCAGTTGAAAATATATCATTTCCAAACTCAGCTACAAATTGCTTTAAATGACACGATTTAGTTGGCTTTGCTTTTGTCGTCGTGCTAATATTAATGACTCTAGCGCAACACAGGACTGTACTTTTGTCACTGAGAACCTTTTGTCAACTGTATCTTTATCTGTACAGTCAAGGGCGAGGAACTGAAGATGGAAGGAGTTTAATTGAACAACAATGTCATATGAAGTAAAAGATTCCGACTAGAAATATGTGTAACTAAGCAAATTGCTTTGTACAAAGAGCCGCAGTGTGAGTAGTCATCGCCGTACCCTGTTTTATGATGTGTATTGTCAGGACTTCCGCGAAACGAACTGAAAGGATGGGCCAGGAATACAACCTATTAATGTATACTATGGCCTTTGTAGAGAGCGCTTAGGAGAAGGAGAAAGAACACTTTGTTTCCATATTATTCACATTTCAGAAAACATATGAAGAAAAATTCCCTAAAGTGGCCAAAAATGACAAGAAATACCCTCAGAAGCTCCCAAAATTACCCCCAAAATGAAAAGATGACCCTAAACTTAAAAATGTCAAAAAATGACAAAAGATTACCTATAAAATTTACATTTCCGTAACCAGCAGGTCATATCCGAGATTTATATATTTAAGAGCATCGCATAGGATACAAGGAAAAAAAGTTGACATGTCACCAAATCTGGGCCCTGGTCATTACTGATATGATCAGTTTAATAAGTTTAATGTTGGCGCTTAAACATTCATTTTTTAATAGAGAACAGATTTTAATAAATGTTCTGAAGGCCTTGGCTTGAGTCATCTCTGGGTGCAGTCTTCATGTAATTCTCTTATCAAAGATTAGACCCTGATATTTTACATGACTGACATAAGGGGACATTCTGTCCATTTAGTGCAAGATGAGCCTCAGGGGACCTAAGTCTATGAGTAAAGTAGATGGCCCGAGTCTTATCTTCATTGAGTTTTATGTTCCGACATTCGCACCTCATCTCAATAGCAGTGAGACCACACTGAAGCTTTCTGAGAACATAACTCTCCTTGCAGTCTGTCGCATATATATAGGTGTCATCAGCAGGGAGTCCTAGATAGACACCAGGTGTTTGGTGCGTATCATATACATATATACACGTATATGCCCAAAAGTCAAAGTTACTTTATGACTGGTGGGTTTTATCAACACCCAGTTGTCTTGGTGTTAAGCCCCTTGAGAATCATGACCAGGTACTTTTTCATTTCAACTCCTCTCATTAAGTATACATATCACACATGTAGCATGTTACTGAAAATTCTCTGTGTGGCACTATGTACAAGTCCTCTGTCAATTCAGGCTTTGCAAAGCAGATCCTGCCTGTCTTATATACCTTATGCTAGAATGGCAATGGCTCTCCTGGTGTTGTGTATTGTCTGTTGGGGTTCCCACGTGATAATTACTCAGTCTGTTGGCATACTGGCTGCTGCTTAGCAATGGCTCTTATCTCATTTGTTTTATGGGCTTTGCCTAGCAACAGGTTTAGGTGAAAGTATGTTTACATGATTTTTGTATGTTCATATTTAGAATAATCCATAAACTCTACCAACCTTGATAAGTGTACTGGAACTTCAACTGTATGAGTTATGTGTGTTGCAAATGCTTTACTCTGTAAGTTCAGAATAAGCTAATTTAATAAAACTTCAATTTTCTGGTGACATCATTTGCTATCTCTTTGAGAGTATTGTAATATGATATAATTAGAAATAGCTAGACTGTATTCTTCAAGGATGGATTCATGACACTTTGGTTAATAATTTCAGAATAACTAGTTTTGTGTATACAAGTGATATTTCTTTCTTATTTCTTTCATATCACACCATGTTTAAATGTATGCAAAATTTCAAAATAGTAACAGATCTTAGAACAGTAAAAGGAAAAATTCTCATTGTCTCATTATTACATTCCTCCTTCTTTTCTCCCTCCTCTGTTTCTTCATTTTCTTCATCCCATTTCATCTCATTATTATTAAAGCACCCATCAATATTGCAACAGTATACAAGACTTCTACAATATGTTTCTCACAAAAATGTAACTTTAATACTTTATGATGTTAGAATCATTAAAATGTCATTAGGACACTAGAAATATAACTTATGCATTAAAAGTGATTATCAAATTACTAAAATGTCTCTAGTTTTACATATGTTTTTTTCAGTTTACAACATGTTTCGGCTGAACAAGGGCCATCCTCAGGAAATTTTTCATTTTTTGGGGGGAGACCACTGCACTGTTCACTTGTCCTCCGTGCTCCTATGCACATCATTGTTTAGTTTTTATCTCATGACTGGAATGCTGTCGTTGTATTATTTTGTGGCTATTGTGGTATTTGTGTGTCGTGTTTCTCTTGTGTATGTCTTACTAGTGCATTATTTATGGGTGCTTTAATAATAAGGATAATGTCTCAGTGCATTGGGATGCTAAAATATGATACTAATTCTTCTCCATGATTTGTTTAATCCGTCTNTAAACAAATCATGAACTTAAATCAGTGCAACAGGATGCTAAAATTTAACAAAATTCTTCTCCTCCTGTATTGAGTGCTATGAAGTCAACTCCCAAATTCTGGTTTATTACAGTAAAGAATTTTGTTAAATTAAATTAAATTAAATTAAATTAAATTATTTATAACTCTGTAAGTTTTGAGGGTTTCACGGCAATGACTATGAAGAAAGTCATCTTCTGGGTTTAGGCACCTAAACCCAGAAGACGACTTTCTTCATATTTATAACTCTGTTCATTTTAGCAAATCCTGTCATGGAAGCATTTGGTAATGCCAAAACAACACGGAACAACAATAGTAGTCGTTTTGGCAAGTTCATAGAGGTACACTTTGATAGCCGCTGCCAGGTGGTGGGTGGGTTCATCTCCCATTATCTGTTAGAAAAGTCACGTATCTGTCGACAGAGTGAACATGAACGTAACTATCACGTGTTCTATCTCCTGTGTGCTGGGGCACCTGACAAACTTCGAGAACAGCTCAGCATCACCAAACCTGATGATTTTCATGTAAGTTTAGTCTTCATATCATCTGATTGTTCTCTTCCTTTGCTCAAGTTGAAATCAATTTGCGCATGCATAACAATTCAGTTCAGTGATACATAGAATTCAATTAAAGCTTATGCTAACAAATTCAATGGATCAAAATCCTTCTAGGAAAGTTAATAGTTACTCACCTATTCAAGTAATTCCCCACCTCTCATGGATCCTAAAGGTTCATTATAATGTTTAAAATACCCTTCCACTGGACTCTGTCCTAAGCTGTTAAGTTACTACACATTTATCATATTTGAAATATGGAGAAAGTTGTAAGAAATAATACATAAGCTCTATGTCATACGTAGGTTAAGATTTATATTAAAGTGTGAATGTGAATTTTAAAACAGATAACTTTATGCAAATGCTTTAAATTTTATAAGTGTAAATTATACACCTCATTCATCACTGCTAAAAAGTATGGAGCTTCTTTTTATTGATTGATTAATTTTAATAGCATGTGACAGATAACATAGTTCACCCTTAATTTACATAATTGTTGTAACTTCTGTGGTACACAATATGAACTCACTCCTATGTGCACCACTGCGGTCTAGAAGGTTGTCTTCTTGTGATCTCACACCACCCTGAGTCTATCTATCGTATCAGTTCTTGATCTTTTACAGCCCTTGCTATCTATGCCATTCTCAGTGCAGTTTCAACACTTAATATATTCAATTTTAGGCATGAGCAAAAATTACTTTTGCAGTTCATGACAAAATTCAGACTCTAATTTGGAAACATTTCAAGAATTGAGACAAGAAAAAAAAATTCCCTCCTAGACCAGTTAAAAGAAAGTTAGCAAGTTTGCGAACTTTATTGCCAGACATCGTAAGACTAATAAACTCATTATACACAGTGAGATGTGAATGAGATTTTGATGGTTGTTGTGTTAATTCAGAAACCAAACGCCAAACGAAGAAGTGCCTAGTCATCATTTAAGTGCATATTTTTATTGCCCTTAGTAAATGTTTATCTTGAGGAAACTGAACAGTTGTTCTGATTTTCTATCCTCTTCAGCCTCTCTTCATTAACAATTAAGAATAAATTTAAAATTATTTAACAGTTTTCTATGTGCAATACTTATTGAATATGAAGTATTATATAATCTGTTAAATTAAGCAGGTGTATTGTGATGGTAATTATTATGGATAAAGGTAAACATACTTCTGTGCCTGAAAAAGAACACCATAAACATGAAGTAAATCTCCAAATCTCAATAGAGTCTCCTTTTTGGTATTAAATGGAGCTGAATGATCAGCTGAGACTTGCACTGCAGTAGATGTCATAGGTTTCATTTTGTTATAATCCAACATCTTTCATCATGTGTTGTAAATTGTACAGTTGCCATAGTGACCATTTCCACATCCTAGGTTTGTTACCTGTATGGACATATGGAAAATAAAGGAAATGAATGAATGGATATGATGTAACTATAGGACTGTCTTGTGAGCTTGATATCATTTTAAACGTTTTTACATGTTATATGGTGTTTTTCTAAACTGTGGGCACCATCTAAATAAAGGGCATGTAAGATGTGTGATAAGATACTATAAGAAAGTAGTCTTTGCTTTCTTGTCAGTTTTATTATTGTACTTTTATTGTTCTCCACATTTAGGAGATTTCAGTGCCAAAGTAGGTAGGGAAGACATTTTCAAACTAACAGTTAGGAATGAGATTTTACACAAAATTAGGAATGATGTGGAAGTTACAGTAGTAAACTTTGCCACATCCAAAAATCTTACTGTCAAAAGTATGATATTCCCACATCATAACATTCATAAATTTACTTGGACATCTCCTGATGGAAAAACACAACTAAATTGACAATATTTTGATGGATAGGAGAGGGCATTGTAGTATACTTAATGTACAACCATTCAGGGCAGCAGATTGTGATACTGACCACTGTCTGATGGTTGCAAAAGTTAAAGAGAGATTGGCACTGAGTAAACGAACAACACACAGAGTTCATATGGAGAGCTTAAATCTCAAGAAATTAAATGAGGTAGAGGATAAAGAGCAGTATCATGTTGAAATCTAAAATAGGTTTGCAGTTTTTGGGAATTTAGACATTGAGGTGGATATTAATAGAGCTTGGGAAACTGTCAGAGAGAATATCAAAATTTATGCCAAGAGAGTCTAGGTTATTATGAACAGAAGAAACATAAGCCATGATTAAGTGAAGGATGCTCAAAATTATTAGACCAAAGGAAACAAGCCAGATTGCTGTGGTTACAGGATCCAAGCAAAATAAATGGGCTAATCTGGACAATATATGATGTAAAACCAGGAGGCACACCATGAATGAAGAGAGGGAATTTCTGAAAGACAAAATAGATGAGTTTGCAACGAGCAGTAAGAACAATATCATTAGAGACCAGTATAGAGGAATAAATGACTTTAAGTGGGGTCACCCACCTAGATGTAATTTAGTGAAGGATGAGAATGATGATCTGCTTGCAGATTCCCACAAGATTTTGAGTAGGTGGAAGAACTACTTCCCTTAGTTATTGAATGTACATAGGGTCAGTGATGTCAGGCAGATACAAAGACATACAGCTGAACTATTATTACATAATCCTAGTCCTTTTGAGGTTCAAATTGCTATTGCAAAATTGAAACAGTATAAATCGCCAGGTAGTGATCAAATTCCTGCAGAACTTATTCCAGCAGGAGGTGAAATATTATGTACTAAGACCTATAAGTTAATGTTATTTGGAATAAGGAAGAATTGCCTGATCAGTGGAAGGAGTCTGTTATTTTGCCAGTTCACAAGGTGGGTGATGAAACTGACTGTAGTAATTATCGTGGGATATCACTGCTATAAATTTCATACAAAATATTATCCAATATTCTTCTTTCAAGATTAAGTCCATATATAATAATCACTGTGGGTTTTGACTTAACAGATCAACTACTGATAAGATCTTTTGCATTTGATTTGTTTCATTCTGGTCCATCACACTAACAATTACAAAGATGAAAACAACACCGTCCAGTGTGACTATTTAAGTTTTATCACTTGAAAACTCATCACCCTTACATGTTTCAAGCCCTGTGGATCATCCTCAGAGGGCATCAATACTTTTTCCGGAAACTACTATTACAATAGGTGTTAAATTATTACATACACATATAATGTCTGAACTGCACAATGTACACAATGTTGAATTTTCAGTCACAGAAGTCTTCCTGGTATTAAAATTTTTAAAGTTTTTTAAAACTTTGTTGTTTAAGATTAAAAGTTATAAACCATGCAGATTCGTGTCAATTCTCCTACTGTTTTTCTTGGAGGTGGCTGATCTTGTGCCGCCTGTCTATCTTGAGAAAGGAGATTCTTAGTATTGTACATGTTTGTTCGTGGCTTGCTGTGTTGTTTACACTGTTACACAATGGGAGTACAATGAGACAGTATATCACCTACCTGTAGACTTCAGGAAAGTCTATGATTCAGTTAGGAGGGAAGTATTGTAAAATATTCTGTTAGAGTTTGGGGTACCCATAAAACTAGTTAGGCTGATTAAAATGCATTTAAATGAAACGAAAAGCCATATAGGTAAATATTTGTCTGATAATTTTCCTATCCAGAATGGTCTAAAACAAGGAGAAGTTTTATCGTCATTGCTTTTAAAATTTGCTCTTTTAGAGTTTGGGATACCCATAAAACTAGTTAGGCTGATTAAAATGTGTTTAAATGAAACGCAAATTCCATATAGGTAAACATTTGTCTGATAATTTTCCTATCCAGAATGGTCTAAAACAAGGAGATGTTTTATCATCATTGCTTTTAAAATTTGCTTTAGCATATGCCATTAAGTCCAGTCTAGAAAACCGAGATTAACGGCCCTGGGGATTTGTTGCACTGACCACGTGATGCCCTCTATCCACAAAAGTTGGCTCTAACTTCGCCGAAAAGCGGTGGTTGCTCGGTTGGTATAATTCGCTTGCAGACTATAGGTCATGGAGATTAGTATGCCATTAAGAAGGCCCAGGGAAACCAGGTGTAACTGACATAATCTGTTGGTCTGTGCTGATGATTTGAATCTACTGGGTGATAAGTGTATGGATACATAAAGAAAAACAAACAAACTTTAATTGATTCTAGAAGGGGGTTGGTCTATAAGTAAACACAGAGAAAACTAAGTATATATTGCTGTCCCATCACCAGAATGCAGGACAAAATCATGACATAAAGATAGGTAACAGATGTTTTGAAAATGTAGCCCAGTTCAGATATTTTGGAACGACTATAACAAATTAAACCTGATTCAGGAGGAAATTAAGAGGAGACTGAATTCGAGCATTACTTGCTACCGTTCAGTCTAGAACCTTTTGTCTTCTCATCTGCTGTCTAAAAACATAGAAATTAGAATATGCAAGACTATAATTTTGCCCGTGGTTCTTTATTGGTGTGAAACTTGGTCTCTGACATTAAGGGATGAACATAGACTGAGGGTGTTTGTGAACAAGAGATTGAAGAGAATATTTGGACCAAAGAGAGATGAAGTGACTGATAGTTGGAGAAAACTGCATAATGAGGAGGTTCATAACTTGTACTCTTCTTCAAGTATAATTAGCATGATCGAGTCAAGGAGGGTGAGATTGGCAGGTCATGTAGCATGAATGGAGCGACGAGGAATGCATGTAGGATATTTGGTTGGAAAGCCAGAAAGAAAGAGACCACTAGGAAGACCAAGATATAGGTGGGTGGATAATATTAAAATGGTTCTTAGATAGATTGGTTGGGGTGGTATGTACTGGAGTGATCTGGTTTAAGAAGGGACCAGTGGAAGGGCTCTTGTGAACACAGTAATGAACCTTCAAGTTCCATAAAATGCTGGGAAGTTCTATAGTAGCTGCACAATTGGCGGATTCTCAGGAAGGGCTCAGCTCCATGAGAGTGTGAGTACAATATTATTATATGCCGTATTAATTTCACTTCTTTGAATAAATATAATATTGATTTTTTTTCCTCTTGAATAGTATTTAAACAGTGGGTGCACTCAGTATTTTACTACCAGTGTCTCTGAGAAGAAACTGAACAACAGTCAGAAGAGCCAGAGTCATCTGATGAAAGGAGGTCTTCGAGATACCATGCTGGATGATATAGAGGACTTCACTAATATGGATAATGTGAGTCTGGGCTATGTCTGCATTGTAACCTGGCTTATACTGTAATAGGACTATTGTATATAATTGTATCTGCCTATTCTGAGACACATTAATTCTTTTCAGATCACCATATTTGTTTTTCAAGATCCATTGAAAAAAATTGTATGTAAATATTCTGCGNTAATGGCCCGAGAAAAGTGTGGTCTTCTAGCGGGTCCATGGATTATACCTATCAGCTGAGAGGAATTATCTCTGTTTGTCCTTGACTGCCGTGATTCATCCTATCCGTGCTTATGGAGTTGGCTTTATCAGAACGCGCAGTCAGCACGTTACGTCATCGCTTACCATTCATGTGTCATGTACAGTGCTTGGAACTCTTAACGACAACTTTGAGATGGCATGCGAGTTTTTTGTACTTCAATTTTATGGCTTCATGTCACTCACAAGTTAGTTTGATGTTACGTACATTATTAACGTTACAGAATCCACATATTCCTGCCAGTTTTAATATCTATTTTGTAATCAACAAGTGTGTAACCCCGGTCAAAGTTTGACACTTCTCTGGCCATTATCTCCGTAACCGTTCAACTTTGGACATAGGTGTTTTTGGTTATATCGGCATACTTTAACATAAGGAACACCCTCCCGAAGTTTGGCACATTCCTCCTGGGACACCCTGTAGAGCCCATTAAGTCACGGTCACATGATTAGCTTCTTAAGAGACTTAGGGGAATTTCTTCAGTTCCTAAAAGCAGCTGCCTTAAGATACCACAACTGCTTCTTCCAGCACCATCTTAACTTGTTGTAAATAAGGTATTCAGCATTATGTCATACCACGTGTCATTGCTGACAGTAGCTGTTTTCTTTTGTTCTTAATATATTATAGTTACCTGGTTTTTTCCTGTTGTAGGCATTGGGCCGATTGGGTCTGAGTGATGCTGAGCGGCTTAACATCTATACCATGGTAGCCTCAGTACTTCACTTGGGAAATGTTGCTTTTGAAGACAACCCTGAGGACACAAAAGGCGGGTGCCAAGTATGTGGTAGCTCTGAGAAATCTCTGTCAATAGCAGCCAAACTAATGGGAGTGGATCCAGGAGAGCTACGGCAGGCACTTGTATCCAGGGTCATGCAGTCAAGCCGTGGAGGTCTGAAAGGCACAGTTATTATGTGAGTTGAGCAGCAGGGATGTCTGTGCCCACTAAAGAGAACTGACTTTGATTCTCCCAGTAATCAGTATCATAATAGTATACATATAATGGTCCTTTGAAGTCATTGTGTCAGACTTCACTTGTAGAGCACACAGCTGTAAAATATTATACCTGAAGATTATTCACAGCCGAATGCCTATCTATGATATTCATTTCTTTGTGGTTACTCTCCTAGTGGGAAATAAACACAACAAGTTGACTCTCATACTAGCCCACTGCAGAGCCCTAGTAACAGCTGATATGAAGCAAAACCCTTTTAAGCCTCTCCCCAGAGATATTGGATTAAATGACATTTTACTGACATTTTACTGACATTTTACTGACATGGCTGGCTTCCAACTAGTGATCACAATGTATACAGATAAAAATCCACCATAACTGCAGCCATATCCCATCTCATTTATCTCGGGTCATTATTCGTACATATTGTTTTACAAAGCAAGTCTACATCAAATATTATGTTCCAGAATGCTTGTAACATTACCAGGTATGCTGTTTTCCACTGCCCCAATGCTGGCAGAACTTTGCTATGATTCAGTTTGCACACTTTTGCCAGCCTTTGCAGCTTTAGAGTATATTTGTTCGTGTTAATGGGAGTCACTTAACAAGCAGATTCCATTATTGGCAGATGATAAAAATGTGGTAGTTGAAGAAGAAGATGATGATGGCTGTAGATTATCCTAACTCCAAGATACACTGGAGGCCTGTGCTGCCCACATTCATAAAGTATTTACTTTGTCATATAATAGGGTTTAACATTGCAAGCAGAAATGTAGATTGGTTATAGTCCTGTTTTCAAACTTAATACTCTGGCACAGGGTGAAAGCACTTCAGTCCTTGATTAAGGACCTTAAAAGTTTTCAAAAACAAGTCTGTGAAAATAAAAGAACTAGTTTCAATAAAACCTGGAACATATTTTTTTAACATCAGTAATTTTATATTTCAAGAAGATGATTGTTGTTTTTGGCAACCAAAACATTTCTGTGATATGGAATTTCAGTTTAACTGATTTTTTCTGACATATTTCACTAAATTTAGCTCCAAGAAACTCAAGTTAGTTGCATCAGGTATCCAGTGAAGTGGCACTTGTGTTATGATCTTTGTTAGAAAATGATACCATGTAGCAAATGTTTAGGAATGCTGTATATTATTTTTGACTTTCATACAAATTAAATAAGACACAGGATGTTTTATCTGATGAAATTTTCAGTGCCCTGTCTCATAACCTTTTCTGAAAATCAGAAGGTAGTAGAGTCTGCAACCTGTTTTATGACCACAAGTAATAAATTATTAATATTCTGATGTAATAAATGAAGCACTTTCTGTTTGGAATTGCTTAAAAGATGTGATGGATGTCAGCGGGGATATTGATGAAGCTTGTAGTAAATGCAATGAGGGAAGTTCAGAACATTGCTGACATGCATATTTTGCTAGCATTATAGAAGTTACTTTAAATATCAGAATTGATCCTTGTTACTTGTATTGTTCAATGTATTGTTTCCTACTCGCTTTCAGGGTTCCACTAAAGGTATATGAAGCCAACAATGCAAGAGATGCTCTTGCCAAAGCTCTTTACAGTAATCTGTTTGATTACATTGTTCAACGCATCAACAAATCAATCCCCTTCAAAGCATCAAGTTATTACATTGGGGTCTTGGATATTGCTGGGTTTGGTATGATAAATATTTCTCTCACAACTAAATGATTTTGATATTTCTTGCTTTGAGAAATGTGTTGAAAAAATAATTATCTGATTGAGCATATGTTTGTTTATAGAACTAAAGACAACAAAGGAGTCAAAGCACAGGTATCTCCTGATTTATGTGAATTAAGTGAATTTCATGTGAATGGTACACAGTGATGTCCATATCAGCTTGTGTCTGGAGACATTTAATTTGTGAGTTGTAGCTGAAAGAATACTGTCATGACCATTCGGCTATTGTTATTAAATTTGATGGCTCATGTCTTTCTAGCAGATTAATAACTGCCTGCAGGGCCTCTGTGCTTGCCAGATTTGAATCCTCTGGATTAATACCTGTGGGGACACCTAAAAACCCTTGTGTATGCAGCTCCTGTTGACATTGTAAAAGCACTTGACCATCGCATGATGGATGCCTGTCAGACTATCTGCAACTATGCCAGCATATTTGAGTGGATGTGGAGGTCCATAATGAGACATGTTGAGAAATGCATTGAATCTCATGGTGGACATTTTCAGAACTTGTTATAATTGTAGTCTGTCAACCATAGCTCACAAATGAAATGTTTCTGGGTGCATGTTGCTGTGGACACATTTTCATGATTTGTGATTTGGACCCTTACCCAATATTTGTCTGCATCTTTCAGTTATACCCTGAATATATAGTAGGTTTAAAGAATCAAATTCTATAAAAAAATCATTTTCTTCATGTATTAAGTACCTGCTCAGAATATGTAACTCACACTTTTGGCAACTGAAAATATGACCATACATAAGAAGTTTATATTTTCCTCTATAATATACTGTTATTAATTTCCAGTCATTTTCTCAACATCAACATGTAATCTTATATTTTTATTTTTAGAATATTTTAGAATAGTTAGAATAGTGTCATCATAATAGTTTATATGGCTGGTAACTAGTTCCAAACTGATGTAAGCATATCTGTATTTTGAATTGAAAAGCACAGTTGTTTTAGAGCTTGGAATTTTGCATGATTTCCTTATTTTAGCACTGGAATGCCTTCAGGTAATTATACTTATTTTTGCAGAATATTTCACAGTTAACAGTTTTGAGCAGTTCTGTATCAACTACTGCAATGAGAAGTTACAGCAATTTTTCAATGAGAGGATCCTGAAGGATGAACAGGATCTCTATCAGAGAGAGGCCCTGCAAGTCCCAAAGATAGAGTTTAGAGACAATCAGGACTGCATTGGTAAATACAAATTAGATTAAAAATATTAAATATTGGTAGATTGTAAACTGTAAATTGGTACCAAAATTTGTTAATATTATGCACTTTTGTTTCATCTTGATTGAGGGAACTCAATTGTGCTATGTTTTGATAGTGGTAATCTTTCACAAAGGTTGTAGCTGGTGTGCTTGATACTTGAGTGATGGTTATTGCATGCAATATGCATGACAATAAACAAGTAATATATGATCATAATTTCTTGATTTCTTTATGAGACACACTCGTATGATATATGTTGGTCTGAAGGAGTTACAGAATGCTACTTGTTGTTTTGTTGTTTAGCTAACTTACAGAGCTGAGTCTTCAAGAAGCTGCTAGTCACTCAGCTACTTAAGAATTTTCCAACATTTTATGGAGCCTGAAGTTTCATTACTGTGTTCATAAGAGTCCTCCACTGGTCCCTTTCCTGAGCCAGATCAATACAGTTGATATCACTCCATCCTCTCTCTCCAAGATCGCTACTTGTTTATTAATATTAATTTCTGAATGTAACAGTCACAAACTTCTTCAAGAAAATGAAAAGAGATATTGAATTCCATAGCTTTATGTTTAATGTGTTCTTCTGATGTTATAAAATAGAATTGAAATCGAGAGAGAGAGACAGATTTGAAAACTCTCCTACAATCAGATATATATAACAGTTATCTATTAACCAATTCATACACATAATAAATAACATATAATCTCATAATTATTTAATGCATGCCTGTTAAACTTTCATTTTGCTTCTGAATTAATTTTACAATTGACCTTGTCATTCACCTTACATCATCTCTGGAACATAAGGAGGGATTGATGCAATATAATATTGAAGATTTATTAATGGTAATATAATTAATTCTGTTACAATTAATTTAAATTTAGTTGCTTATTTATCAGGCTCTTATGAACATGGTAAGGAAATTCCAGGTTCTGTAGAAGGCAGGGAAATTCTTGATCAGCTGAGTGACTGTTAGCTTTTTGAGAAGGCCTTTTCTGCATGGAATGAGTTAGTTATTACATAATATGAATTCGAATACCCACTTTTGGAACTGTTTAATTTTCTTACATCACATGGCTATGAAACTCTGATTTATTTTGCAGACTTGATAGAGTCTAAGGGCACTGGAATCTTTGCTATCCTGGACGAGGAATCGAAGCTTCCAAAACCCAGTGCTGAACACTTCACCATGGAAGTTCACCAAAAGTGGGCAGGACACTTCCGTCTAGCTCTTCCAAGAACATCACGGCTGAAAGCACACCGTGACACAAGGGATAATGAAGGGTTCATGATCAGACATTTTGCTGGAGCAGTCTGTTACAGGACTGTAAGTCACCTTGGACACTAGCATAATTTATGTGATTATAAGCACTATAACAACAGTGAGCACTAATAATCATTGTCATTCTTGAATGCTGTTCATAACACTAACAAATCTGATAAGTGCGCTAAAGAATGATATGTTTAGTGCAGTTACCATTCAAAATGTGGACATTAAGCAATTAATTGTTTAGAGAAAAAATTTATCTCAGAAGTTTTAAATTATAAGAAATGACAATAGCTGATCACAGAAAGTGCATTGAATTTAGGAAAGGTGAATGAAGCCAAGAAATTCAAATAAAATAGTAAAAGGTATTTTGAGTGTGTGTCATCGAATTTGTCCAGGAAAAGGTAATAACACTTTTTTGTAGATAAGGTTTGAGCCATTCATAGGAATAGATACTTTTAGATTCATCTTGTATAGACTTGGTCTCTAACAAATGTATATTAAATGTCATAATATTAATATATGGTGCTTACTTTCTGAATAACATGTAAAAATAAGGAAAAATAACAGCAGAACATGATAGGGAGGATTTTGAAGCAGATGCAGATTAAATACTATATAGTGTCATGTGTTTGTAACTAGACATAAGGTTTGGATTAATAATTGAGTCTGTTGGATGCTTATCACTCTAAACAACAGATAATTGCAAACATTTTATTATTATTCACAATATACAGGAAACTGCAGCATGTTTGAAGTCTTTCTGGTATGCCATATCTTCGTGTACTCATTGCTTGGTTGTGGTCTCCATTAATGGAGATTCTCTTTCATGTTTCCATTCTTGATGACCCTCATCCTAGACAGCTTCCTCTTCACAGAAGAGCAGACCTGATCCTCCTTTTACAGCTGTGTTGCAGCCTTGTTGTTTTTTGTCATGGAAACATGTTCTAACAAGCTATTGTATTACAATGGACACCTCTGGAACACTAACTTGATTCCAAAATTTTTTATAATTTCTATTTTGCAATAATTATTTACTTAGAAAAACATTTCATTTTAATGAACAAATGTACAGTCTATGAATGAATGAATGAATGAATGAATATATAAGGGGTGGGCATTCTCAGCACTTACACCACAACCTACAGTGATCTATTGTGCTTCCCCTTTTGATTATCCCCTCAACAATCCTGTGCTTTGAATGAAGTGCAGGATTTTGTACATGAGGGCGTCAAAATAGTCACTTGGTTCCATAAAGTATTGACCCAAGTGACGTAATCTTAACACATTGCGGACCGGTGGTTTAAATATTTAAATCACCCTAGGGACCGGCGTTTTTAAACCTACTACCCTAACTTGTGCACTGTTCACTTTAAAAATTAATATAAAATCTCCTAATTAATTTTATGAACTGAAATTTTTGGAGAACACTTACCAGAGCTCCTAGAAGTGCTTGCGCATGTGATATCTCTGGAAACATTCCCCTTTGTGAAGAGGCATTACGCAGAAGTTGCACATGTAGGCAGTTCTACTCTTCTTCTTGTGCTCTGCACACACACGGCACTGCCTAGAAGGGTGTTTCTTCTTGCAATATTCACTCTTCACAATTTTCATGAGAATATGTTTCCGCATATTACAGATGAATGTAATTAACAATTTAAAATGACACTGACTTCGGTATATTTGTGGTACACACATAATTGCATTAAGATATAATGCTGTTAAGTGTCCACATATTTGACAGAATAATGAAGAAAGATTAGATTGATGGCAATTTTGGGTGCTGATATGAATGATGTGTAGCTGAAGAAAGATATTTTGAGCAATATTAGTGTTTCTTTCAGTCATATGCCTCGGTAATGATTCCACATTTTTAACATTACCATCTTGAAGAGCAGTAGATCTGTTATAAGATGTAACTCTTATTTTGGTCATTCATAACAAAAGATTGACATTAAAAATTTGATCTATCCACTCCCCCATACATCTTCATGAGGTAGGGCTTAATTCGTTAAGCATAGGGACAACTTTACCTTTACCTTTACTATTCTATTTGATGGTGATAGCAGATAAATTATTTTCACTGCACTTTATTCACAACGTCTGTGATCAAAACACATTCTAAGCAGGTAGCCACACAGCCAGCAGTCATGAAAGTTCCCAAAAATTGAGGTCATATGATTTCTCTGCTTAAATGACAAGCCACTATCAGAATTTTGCACCTTCTTTGTCAAAGTGGTCAGCTTATTTTGATCTGGGTTTTCCCCTTACCACATTTAATTCTATTTGCATATTTATTCCACACACATCATGAATGGAGTATGAGTTGGATTACAAATATACCTTCAACATTTTTATGTGTAATTAAGTATAAAGTTATTTTACACACATTTGTGTGAATATTGTAGGCAATTTGAAAGCCTTTTACTATAAAATTTGAATAATTTGTGTAAATATCTCTTTATCAATTTTAAACCTTGTGACTCCCATGCCTAGTTTACCTTTTTGTGACAAAAGTAGGAAGTAGTTGTTGCAAAAAGAAAAGACACTAATATAATGGCTTTAATTTGGAAGCATGAAAACCAAATTCAATAATTACATTACAAGACTCTTTGGATAAACCTAGAAGAATATTATATACAATATGGCATTCTACAATGTTCACAATTTCTGTTGTTAATCTAGGGCCAGTTTATTGAAAAGAACAATGATGCACTCCATGCTTCATTGGAAGGTTTAATCCAAGAGAGCAGGAACCCATTTCTTCAAGTTTTGTTTGCATCATCATCCAACATGAGTCAACAAAAAGGAAAGCTTACTTTCAGCAGTGTTGGTTCAAAGTTCAGAACACAACTGGGAGAACTGATGGACAAGCTTAAGAGCACTGTAAGTTCTGGGAGATTAAGAAAATGTTTATTATCATCTTATGGTATCATATTTTCATGTGTTAGTGACTAGACATAGGTTTGGACTGATAATTGGATTTACTGAACACTTATAATTCATAACTATTAAATAACTACATATTTATTTTTACATTTTATTCGCAAATTTAGCGAAAAATTTTTAGTGATATGAATTCTAGACAGATGTATACACAGTACCACAAAAAATTGGGTCAACATGAAAACAGAAGTCATTCAGTCATGTCCTCTCTGACTTATCTTTGCAGGGCACAAATTTCATACGATGTATCAAACCAAACCAGAAAATGGTGGATCACCAGTTTGAGGGAGGTTCAATTCTGTCACAACTGGAATGTTCAGGCATGACAAGCGTCATGGAGCTGATGCAGAATGGCTTTCCATCTCGAGTTCCTTTTGCAGATTTGTACAATATGTATCACAAATACTTGCCACCCAGACTGGCAAAGTTGGAGCCTAGAGTCTTCTGTAAGGTAACGAAAACTGTATCATCTTGCGGGGCCCATCAGATTTAAACTAAGAAAAGTTGAGATTGTTGAAATGAGTGAATAAAAACAGTAGGTTCAAATCTGTATCAGGGACCTTGTAAGGAAGTATTATTCCCTTTTAGTACACCTTCAGATATGACCTGTTGAAACAGAATGTCTGTCACAATATTTGAGAGCCTAGTTTGACATAGTATAGTCTCAAGACAGTATGGGTTTCTAGAATAGTCTGTGTGTATGTATACCTCCAGAACTTTAGAAAGCCTCTTTTCATTAATTCATGACATTTAAAACTGACATTTTTTATTATGTTTATATTTTTTGTATCTGCCAGGCACTGCTGAAGGCACTGGGGATGACAGAGAATGAGTACCGCTTCGGCGTGACTAAAGTGTTTTTCCGACCAGGCAAGTTTGTAGAGTTTGATTCCATCATGAAATCAGATCCCGAGAATTTGGCTAGTATGGTTGCCAAGGTCCACAAATGGCTTCTCACATCGAAGTGGAAGAAAACACAGTGGTGTGCCCTGTCTGTTATTAAATGTAGGTGACATTTTGTAGGTTTTGTACAAAGATGGCATGAGGACTTCACTAGCCAGCTGCATGTCTCACTGCATGAAGTATAGAAGCAAATATTTCTGTGCTTGACTTCGCTTCCCAGCAAACTGCAAAGAGCTAATACATTCTGCCTTCCTTCATTTTTTTATTTCCTGTTATAAACACTTTGCCAGTGTTATTGAATTATTATATTAAGTAAATGTGTAAGTCATTTCTGTTCCATGTTTTGCAGCCAATAAAAGTAGATTGTGTGCTATGATGTTGATGCTATCAGTGCTAACAGTTGTAAAATTGCAGCTTAAATCTGATAAAGACAATGAATTTATTGTTTAATGTCGTTTTATGCTTCACATTTTTCATTTAATAGGTTCACACTGTTTTTCTTATTCTTGCTCTTCTTCATTTAGTAACATGTGTTATTCTATCTTGCTTGTTCAGAGAATTTTTAATTATTCATATATTAAACAGGACTGCTTTGTCAGATGACCAGTCTGTTGTTTATCTCTATGGATCTTAAATATTCTGTACTTTAGCTTCACAGTTGACCTTGACCCTTAGTTATGCATGCCATATGGTCAAATAATGCATTATTCAGGACAAGTTTAGTGAATTATTTAGTATAATGCTAGAACATATATACATATAATATTACAAGAAATTATTGAATCAAAGATTTTGGGAGGTTTCAGAGTTAGTTCATGTTAATTCTATATAAACATTACTGAAAAAATTTACTCATTAAATTTCATTCATGGAAAAAATGTGTGTGTTTTATCTGAGCAGCTTTTGGCATAAGTTCATCAGGTCTTCATCAGGTGATCACTCTTTTATGCCATGTATCATAAATCTTACTTATTACAATACATCACATTGTACTTTTTTCATGTATTGAATTGTTAGCTGTAACTTCACAGTGGATCCATTGTCAGAGCTCTACACATCCTATTCTATTACAGTAAATCCTCGATTTAATGGACCCCAATTTTTTTAACAGATTTCAGATTTAACAGATACAGGCGTTTGGTACCTCTCTGTTATTCATTGGTTCTCATGTGTCGGTACTTCCCTGAAATATTCTGGTATATGTACTTCATCAGACAAGCTACGAACACAGTACGTGTCTAATATATAGATCATTCTGTTGCAAATTAAATATGAGTTGTACTGTGTTTGGTTTGATCTTTTGCAAATATGTGTTTAAATTAATGCACCATATACAAAAAAAGCACAAATTTGAGTATAAGACAAACATTAAAATTGATTGAAATGTTAGAATCAGGAGTCTGCATCACACATAATTGTAGGAAATGTACTGTGAAGGAATAAACTGTGTCAGATATGCAGAAAACAAAAGATAAGTAAAAAAGTGTTGTTTTAATATGTGATGTGATGCCCCAGGTAAGCAAAGAAATCGTGTGAAAATGGCACAAGAAACCTCACAGGAAGATGCTCCGTTGAAATTATATCTTTTTTTTTTTCTTGATAAATGCAGGTTGTGTTATGGTTCAAAATGCATCACTTGTTATTTAAGGACTTTTGGTTTCCTACAGATGCTATTTTATGGACATTTCAATTTAACAGATGTTCAGAAATATTTTACATCCCTCCCCAGTTAGTCTGTTAAATCGAGGATATTGTCACATGTATGAGTGACTATAGATGGGGTTTGGATTGGTCATTTGGATTTATTGAACACTTACTGATTGTAACTATAAGTAATTGTAGCACCATCACTAATCTTCACAATTCACGAATCACTAGAGCACATGCTAAGACTTCTCAATCTGCTTTCACTAGTCATTTCCTGGTAATGGATCTTAACAATGTCCTTACTGACTGGCAAATATCCCACAACTGACTAATCTATAAACTTTGTCCCACTTATAACCTATCAGCATGGACTGCATGCAAAACACCGCACCTCATTGTTATAGTTCAGTTGTTGCTTATAAGGAATCCATTGCTTAGAAGTGGGTGCTGTTTAGTGAGTCATTACTTAGCAATGGATTTACATGCTACAATATACTGTATTTTAATTTAATGGCAATTTTAATGATTTTATAATAATTTATAAAGGGAAAGGTGTCCCTGTCTTAACTAATTATACATTATGCCATGAAGGCATATGGGGGAGTGGATGTATAGATCCACATTTTCTTGACCTTGGTATTATTTGGAGGTGAGAAGTCAGCTTCCTGCCCCTGCCACTTTACCCCTGGGGCATGGAGAAGAGAAAATTTTTGACTCTACTGGGACTCGAACTCCATCTTCTCAGTCATTCAGCCCATAGTCAGTGTAATATTTTATAACAAATAGAAATTTTACACTTAAGTCTTAAATATGGGTACTGTACAAAATTCGCAAATATATTGACCAATATTTGCAATGCAAAAACAATGGCTTCATTGGAATGAGTATTGTAGCTTGATGACCAATGAGGTCAAAATACATGTATATAGCTGCTGAGTTGTTATATGTAGTTCATAATAGTACTTATATAGGATGTACTGAAAGGCTTTATATGTGTAATGTATTTGTTATGAGTAACTCATTTTTTTTTTGCTGGTACTTCTGCTACTTGTCTGTTTATTTTGTAGCAACTTGTGATTATTTAATAATGAAATCTTTCTCTTTTTAGTGAAATACAAGATCCTGTATCGAAGGGCATGCTTGATAACAATTCAGAAGAATGTTCGCATGTTTCTTGCCAAGAGAATTCATCAGCCAAGATACAAAGGCATTACAAAAATAAACAGTCTGCAGGTTCAGTATAGTTCAGATTTATTCAGTCTGCCAATAGACATGGCAAGAAACAAACTCACTCACTTATTCCATGGTTATTTGGTGTAAAGTATATTTCTTACACTAGTACATATTTAGACAGCTTTGGCACATCTGTTCAGTTTGATGATATTAGCTAAAACATGATCTGATGGGAATCTTGGATAATTTTTAGTAGGTACTAAATGCAGTACTCCAGTATGGAAGTTTTGTGATGGTTTTGAGGCATTTATTATGAAAAATCTGAATTTGTTTTATGTACATATTTTGAGTAAACAAAGCTGAACAGTGTGTTAGTATGTTAAGACCTGTTTGTCTCTCACAGTTCAGAACATCACTGAACGCTACTGAGGAAAGAGAAGTTTGAAGAGCTCTGAAATTCCTGAGCATTGATTTTACTTATTTTTAATCAGTATATGTTTTGTTGTCTAGTTTCTGTACTATTATTACCTGTAAGTACCTGTATGATGATGGTTTATGGCAACAGATTTGGAAGTAAAAGGCCAAAAAAAAAAAAAACAACAGCAACAAAAAACTTTCATTTATCTACCATGTTAACAAAATAATGTATTTCAAACTTGCAGGCAAAACTACTTCAGATGGAGGCTTCAATTGGCCAGCTGAAGAAGGATAAGCAATTTAGTTTATCAGAGCTGAAGAAGTTACAAGCAGATATGACTTCTGCTATACAGAAAATTAAGGTACAACTTATTTTAACTAGTCTGATGCTCAGGTATGGAAATATAATGCAATACGCATGTTCTTAATCCATATGTTGCCTTCATGACATGTTACTTTAACATGGCTGTGATTTTGCTGCATGCTGCCAGGAGGTGTTAAGACTACAACTCTGTTGCTTTATCAAGCTTCTCACAACATTTCAATAGGTATAATATTTAGTACACAACATGGATGATTTTGAATCATTAACAGTCCATTGTAACTACTGCTGTTTAAGGTCTGAGATGCTCTTCGTGGTCTAGTGGTAACATGCTTGCCGCTGGACCTAAGGTTTGCAAAATCAAACCAGGGTGAAGTTGATTGATTTTAAGAGTGATAAAAATCCAGAGCACAAATCCCTTTCGAAGGGAAGTAAAGGGGGGATCAATGTTGTATATTTATGGCACATAAAAGAACAGTGGCTGCATGGATATGAAGATCTCTGGTGGACAAGGGTGGGAACAGCTAGAAGTTACGCAACCCAACTGGACTGGGAAATTGAATAATGTAACTCCAAGTGGTCACTGAATAGAAAACAAGTTACAGATATGCCAACCAGGAGGTTAAAAGCACGAAGTTCAACAATAGAAACCAACTAGTTTTCCAACATTCATGCAGTTCATTTACACATTGCTGTATTGAGTACTGCCTGAAATGGTGTAATCAGTTCATTTGGAATTTTTTGGTTCATGGAAATGTATTAATACCATGCAATCATTGAGGTTACATCTTGTATTGGAGGGTGACAGTTAGCTCACAGATGGCAGTGAGGTTGTGAGCATTATGCACTTGCCACTCTTTACACCCAGGAAGATTCCTGGTAGTCATTTATTTTAGAGGCTGAGTTGATGGCAGGGCCATATTGTGGCTGGAAGGATTAGGTTAATTGAAAAAACCAGTAACCTCATTGGGAATCAAACCCATGACCTTCTGGCTTGTAGCATAGTGCCTCAACTAACTATGCTACTGTGTGCCCCTGCTTTGCACAAAGTAATAAATTTTAGTGAATGTGTTAAAAAAAAGTCTTACAGCATGCTTTAAAACATATTGTAGAAAAGGAAAAACAGTTGTATTAATTGTTCTAGTAAAATTTTTAGTTTCACTTTTCAGGTACTAATACAACTTTCTTGGCCAGTCATGATAACCAAGTGATCTAAGGCATGCACTGTCTTTGCTCGCTTGGAAACTGGGATAGTAGGTTTGAATCCCACTCAGGGCATGGATGTTTAGTGTCTGTGTACAGGTAGAGGCCTTGCAATGAGCTGATCACAAGCCCAAGGAATTCTACCGAGTGTCTAAGAGCTAGTAAATCAAAGGGAATTAGAAAGTTTCATGGAGGTAGGCCAAGGCGCCAATTGGGGCTGTAGCGCCAAAGGAAAAAAAAAAATACAACTTTCTTTTTCCTGTCCACTAATTCCTCCATCTTTCTCCCATTACTGCATATTGACCCCAGATATACTGTATTTCTTGGAAGTCTCAGGAGTTAATTTGTTTGGTACACTTCATAATCATTAATTAAAATCTGAAATATTTGTACGAGTTTGTGAAAAGAAGATCTGTGTTTCAAGAGCCTCTGTTGTGTCATTGTGATCTTCTGTGATCAGACAGCTTAAAAATATAACTTATAAAATGAATGTCATCTGCTATGTATAGATATTCAGTATTAGGAATAATTCTGTATTTCAGCATCCTGTTGAAATTGTTTAACTTAACATCCGATCATCCATCAATATTGGAACACTTGTTTATTCGCCACTTAATCTTAATTCTAGTTTAACATTTTACACACTGACACAACATGTTTCTGCCCCAAACGGCTATCTTCAGGAGTCTTGATATGTTACAAATATTTTATTAAATTATGTTAAAACTGCTACACTGTATTAGTTCATGTTAAAATCACATGCTGTAGTGCAGCGCTAGTAAAGACAACACCACACACTGTGGAGGAAACACACGAACCAAGGACATATTGCAGACATAACTGAAAAGTAGGCTACGAACCTGAAGAGCAAGCCGCCAGAACAAAACCCCCGGGACAGTCATACATACATTTATGAACAATGGATGACACCCCTTGTGAGGTGAAATAGAATGCATAGAATGCAACAAAGTAACATGGGGTTAATAGAAAATTTTAATGGATTTTATCTTGTTTTACCTTGAAAAGAGAACTATAGCGTGTGATTTTAACATGAACTAATACAGTGTAGCAGTTCTAACATAATTTAATAAAATATTTGTAACATATTAACACACCTGAAGATAGCCATTTGGGGCAGAAACATGTTGTGTCAGTGTGTAAAATGTTAAACTAGAATTAAGATTAAGTGGTGAATAAACAAGTGTTGCAATATTGACGGACAATAAATAATGGCCATAAAATTAGGAATAATACCATATATCTTCATCCATATATCATACCATAAATTACTTCAGAAGTTTGCATTTAGTGGGGGGTGGACATGGGGAATGTGAAGCTGGATGTTGTGTTGTGCCCTGCATACCTGATTTATTGTTTCATTTTAATTACAATGTGCATTGTTTTCATTGACAGAGAGATGAGAAGATCAAGCCTGCAGAAGTAGATGAACTCTACACACACCTTCTGAACACCACAAATAGCCAAATGAACCAGCTTCAGAAGAAGGTACAGGAGCAGAAGAATGCTGAAGAACAGGAACGACTAAGGAAAATACAAGAGGAGATGGAAAAAGAAAAAAGACGGAAGGAAGAAGAAGAGAGAAGAAAAAGAGAAGAAGAAGAAAATAGGAGAAGGTGAATGTACTATAGTATACCATTACTGCAATGTTTAATAATGTATATGATTGAAACAGTAATGTCCATAAGATTTGAGATTCTTAAGGTGTTGTCTATAAAGATTACTGTCCTTAGGGATGCAATGCAATGTAGTATAGGAGATATTTACTGACTTCTGGAAGAACATGCTAGTTCCATCTCATGTGTAGAAGGTTAAGGATTACTTCATTGAAAATGGAAGGGGATGCTTTAACCCAACCACATTTTAATTTTGCTCAAAAATATACCATCAGGAAGGACAAAGAGAAGTGGAGAAGATTGGTATTAAGTGTCCTAAAGAGCTGCGCCATAGCTCAAGCGGTTACTCACTGGCTTCCCACTGCGGTGGCCCAGGTTCGATCCCGGGTCTGGTCAAGTGGGATTTGTGGTGGACAAAGTGGCACTGGGGCAGGTTTTCTCCGAGTTCTTCGGTTACCCCTGCCAATCTTCATTCCACCAGTTGCTCCACAATCACCCTCACCTATCATCTGGGGCTGGTACAATAGGCCAAAAGTATCCTAAGTACAGGACAGTAATTTGTTTGTTATGCATGTAAGTGCCCTATAGAATAATCCTTTTATAGGGTCACAAAAGTATCAACCTAGTAATAAATATACATCCAATTATATAGAAATGTATGCACAGGCATACATTCAAATAAACTTACATGTCATTGAAACAAAACCTATAATGAGTCAATAATCCTTATTTTCAGAAAAATTGAAATGGAAGCTCGTCGTAAGGCAGAAGAGGAAGAAAGGAGGAGGCAAGAAGAAGAAGACAAGAAAGCTGCTGCTATTCTTCAGGTTAGTTTCCTAAAACATTGCTGCATTATGATAATGTGTGATTGAACATAGCTGTCACATGTACATTGTTTGGTAACCTGCTATATTCTTCAGGCCTTGAAACTTACTGTTGCTGAGGTGTGCAGGAGGGGTTTGAAACTTGACATTTGTCTTATGATCTGAAGACTATCACTGACATGAAGTTCACATATCCAGTTCCATTAGGAACATTACAGGAAGGACTGCTTCATGATTTTGTGGTTATACAATGTAAAGCTCTAAAGTAACAAGTCCTTGAAAACTTGAAAGGTATATGACCATATCACTGTCAAGTATTACATAGTGTTTAAAAAGTTTATAATAGGTAACAATTAAAGTGTATGGTGTTCAAATAATGTTTGCCTTATAAATCTCAACTGCATATGTATAATGTGCATCCTTTGTGCCAGGACAATATCAGGTTAAAAATATGAGACATCTGCCACTCATACATTCAACTTACTAAAATGTCAGTTAAAATGTTATTAAAATGTCATTAAAGTATATTCTATTTCCAGCTACATATTTTGGCTTCACAGGGTCATCTTCAGGCAACACATTTTGAGGGAACCTACTGCACTATGCTTGCTTATGTCAGTGGTACTCCTTGATGTTTGTCATCATTATTCTCAATTTTGGGAATGTCCATTTTCTATTTTTGTATTGCAGCTTCTCTGGTCATGTCTACTTTGTACTGATTTGATGTTCCATCTGGGAACCACAATACGAAGATAGAAAAAGAAAATACATTCTCAAAGTACCAAAATTGAGACTAATGGTGATGTACACCAGTGAGTACCATTGACATAAGCAAGTATAGTGCAGTTGATTTTATCAAAATGTGTTGCCTGAAGATGGTCCTGTGAAGCCAAAACATGTAGCCAGACATAGCATTTTAATGACATTTTAAGAATATGATGAATGTAAGATTTGAGGCTTTCACGGCGGTGACTATGAAGAAAGCAGTCTTCTGGGATTTGGCACCGTGTATATGTGGTGTTAACCACGGTGCTAAATCCCAGAAGACTGCTTTCTTCATGATGAATGTAAGTTTGGTGTCATCTAAAATAAAAAGTATATTGCATTATAGAGAGAAGAGAAAGCATGAGTGACACTTCAATGCAACAGGATGCAGAAATATAATATTATGAAATATCTGATTTTTGTTATATGATGTGAGCACACTCCTCTAACTAAACTCATACAAGTAGAGCACAAAGATCCTTATTGTAAAAAGGACAAACAGGCTAGAACAGTCATACAGTTTCTTGTGGCTGCTTACTTGTCCACCACTGAAACCATCAGTTTTAATGAAACTGAACAAGAGTGATTTATGGCATCTACGTAAAGGCTTAGTGCCAGTCAGCATAGCATTACAGAAGACAAATTATAGTATAGCTTCTAAATATACAGTGAAATTTTTCTTTTTCTTTCTCCTAATCTATGTATTTCCTGATTTTATACACTTTTCCATTTGCCCAAGCTGGAAAGAGAATAGAGCAATATTAAATTATAATCAATTTTACATTTGCTCAATCTAACATTATTATCAAATTTTTGCATTTCTTGAGTCCAAGGTAGAGAAATTTACACAGTTTTGTGTTTGCAGCATTTTATTTTGGAAAATTCAAGACACCACTGGTGCCATTCCCCTCATATTTTAAGGGTCGTCTTAGTAAAATAGACATCTCTTTGCATATGAATTTTCTTTTAATCTGACATTAGCAAGCTTGATCAGTCACAGAACAAACATGCTTTCATGCTCACCATTCCACTTGAGTGCTGCAGTCATTTGTTTTATTATGAAGTTGATTATTGAAAATATCCATATGATGCTAGGTATTGTATATAACTGTGGCAGACCATTTATTATTTCTAATCTGTAGGTTTTCTCAGCTGGAGCTTAATTCATGGCTTCAGCTTGCAGGACTATTCAACGTTGAATGCTGGAGGGTTTCTGATGTTTTGTTTAAACCCTGCAGTTGCCATCTTCAGGGTTAATTACTATATAGTTCCTATGTAGCTTTTGCATTAGGCACTTTGTTGGAGGTGAAGCGATGATTGTGTGAGCTGAGGAGAATGCAGACAAGTAGGGAGCATCTATGTGGTTAGTAACAAAAGGTTGTGATAAATGTTTTAGTGACCACATGATAATTGAAAAGAGATGATGAGCGATAGTCTGGAAATCAGATGGCTCTGATATGAGGAGAGTGAAAAAAATCTGTCATCCACCTCATGTTTTGGGACATAATTTATTCCAACGCAGACAGGAAAGGGAGTTTTTCTCTTTCTTATTTTTCTCCCACATGGACAGGGAAGGAGATCAGCAGACTGAACTCCCTCCCTTCCCAAAGCCATTGATCCTGAAGGTGGATACTACAGAGTTTGCTGAAATATTGGAAAGCCCTGAACATTCGACATGACATGGTCCCAAAACAGAAATCCACACGTTTATTAATTATTCTTTCTGGCCTCAAACACGGATAAAAAAAAAAGCATTTACAGTAAATGATAAAATTGGTATTATACTGCATCACTAGTCATGTTATATACAGTAATGTTCTTTCATTTCCATTGTTATTGTGTTCAAGCATGCATATATCAACAGTTTTCCAAAGTTATGTCACAAGGCAACTCATATTTTCGTTTACAGTACATCATTTTTACTTCCATGAATTTACACTTTCCTCAGATTTTTTTTATTTTAGGTGGTCCTTTCAGAGGCATAAAATTGAGGTTCCACTGTTTGCATATTCTTTGTAAATGAAAAATATTTTAGTAGCTACATGCAGTAGGATTTTCTTCCAAATTCATGCTAACCCCATTATCTTCTGTAACAATCTAAATATATTTGGTCAGGTTTAATCACAAATATTTTCTTTATTACAATATTTGAACATTATTTTCTTTTTATTTTACATTTTGCGTTCAGTAACATGAATAAAGGCTGTGAAAATCATTACACTATACAGTGTACTTCGTACTTGCGTACATATGGAACCATTATGGATGCTGTGGATAGTATAAAAATAGGACAGAAAGGCAAACATCTAAATACCTTGGAAAAATATCATGTTTATAGAATTAGAGAAAATAACCTACATATGAATGACACATACAAACCCATATTCAAGACATTAAATAAGCTTTACATCAGATAGGAGCACACACAACCACAGTCATGCTACAAAATCAGGATTAGGCACGCTGAACACTCAGAATACCTACACACACACACACACACACACACACACAGACTACTTAGCAACATAACTATTCTAGCAGTGTGGAAAGACCAACAGCCAATGGTGCATACATGAGTATTAAAAGTAAACTAACACAAAAGAAAACGCAAAATATACAAATAATATACAACAATATATTCTTTATATATTGCAGATAACAGAAGTGATAATAGCACTACATCAACATCCTTGCAGACTGCACAAATGACACGTATAAGTTCAACTATAAACAACTATCAATACTTATAAATCTATTAATAAAATTATATAACACAACGTATTATTTACACATTACAGATAATACCCACACCAAAAAAGCGAATGCAGTACGAATAAATCCAAAATGAGGAATGCTCGAGCAATTATTTTTCAAACAAAGGGATGGCAACCACAGTGAAAAACATTAAGATGTTAATTAATTTTAATTCAAAGTTAATTGATTTTAATTATTCTGACATACAGTGCAACAATTTTAGCAAGATAGACAGCACCTATTGATGACCATCTACAGCTGAAATATATAGTGAGGAAGAAGGGTGATCAGATAATAATTTGAATGTAAGATGGAAATATATGCGTACAAAAAATTTAATATTACAGGAATATTGTTCCTAACCTTAGTTTATAAAGTATGTATTATGTATGTATGTATGTATTTCCTCTCCATGAAAAATAAGCATCCCATCCTACTTCATGCAGTTGTTCACATATAAAAATAATTACATACTTCTTTGGCAGGCTCAATTAGAAAAGGAAGCTCTAGAGAACACTCGTTACCGAGAGCAGTTGGAACAGGAGAGAAGAGATCATGAATTGGCTTTAAGGCTTGCACAGGAAACCAATGACCAATTAGAAGAGATGTCTCCACAAGATAATAGGAGGTATGTGAAAATGCTTTTATATACTGTAGGATTTGAGGTGCTCATAGCAGTGATTATGAAGAATTATATCTTCTGCTATATAACACCATGCAATCTGTTGAAAATCAACTGGCATTCATAGGAACATATCCCCTCCATCTTCCGGGTTGAAGAGAGAGCCAAGCAAGAAGCTCTGCTTGCTGCCTACTTCATGCTGGTTTCATGCTTGACTTACTCTTCATCTGTGAAGATGAAGGCAATATGTTCCTGCAAATCTCAGTTGACTTTCACTAGACTACACTACGTTATATTCCAGAAAATAGAACTCCTTTTTATGTAATGTTGGTAAAATTAATTCAAAGCAAATATGTTATTTCTGACATATAAATGATGAATTGTATATTGTGGTTTATGAAAAGTTAACCCAAATTAAAGCACAACATATGTATTATGACATGAATTTCAGTAATAGTGTTTGCAATTTTTGAGTAATATCTTAAAATTTCTTCAAGAGTTGAATCTGAAGTTGCTTTTAACCTCCTCCCAGCCAAAGCATTCTAAGCAAACTCTTGATGAAATATCATCTTTGACGCAATCAGTAGGTGAACAAAGTTTTCAGAAGACAGGTTTTAAGCAGGGTTGCAGATGTTTTAACTGATTGAAATAGTGGTCACTCAAAGCCATTAACATCTGTGAAGCTTTTATTCATGCACTTAACAGTGGTTAATTTGTTTCAGGACCTTGATATTATTTTTTGTATTATTACTGATTTGTTGCAATTTTTTATACAGAAATATTTTTTCACAATCTCTACCTTTGTTGCTGGACTGTATGTAATTTGAAAAGATATATTTCTTGAATTTTATGATTCAGCACACAGGAATTAAAGGTTAATTTCTGGGGATTCAAGAACAGAATATGAACAGGGGAGGATCAAATGATCCACATCATATTTTAAAAGTTCTCTTTATATGAACAAACATTATTTTACAAACCACAAATAAAATAAATATAGTAGTAAATAATATGGGCTTGAATATAATATGCTCTGCTCTGTACTGCATGCAGTACTAAATTGGAGGCTGATGTAATGAATGTAATGTGGAAATGTAGTCACATCTTACATAAAGCTGTAATATATGTTCCTGTATGTTGCTAATGTGATGTGTTTTGTGTAGGATGTTTAAAATGTGTTGGATTGGATTTTTGATTCTCACAACAGGGACTATAATGATCTCTGTCCTCTCAAATATAATTATCTGTAATCCTATGAAAGTCAGATCATGTTTTAGTGGACCATATTGTCTCAGTCTTAAAGATTAAAAAGAGTAAGGCATGTAAGGAACCAGCATGAAGTAGGCAGCAAGCAGAACTTTACTCTTTGATACTGAGGATGTAGGTGATATGTTCCTCTAAATGTTGGTTCACTTTTACCAGAGTACACGGCATTATGTTACAAAAGACAGGAATATTCATATGATTGGTTATTTGCATATGTGTAAAGTCTTTGCATGTATTCCTGAAATTAATATATTGTATATTTATATGGGGGAAAACATAATGCACTACTTTCACTAGTAAAATTAAAATTTCTGCTGTTGTTATATACACTTATAAATATTTCATTTTGTAAAAATGACTTGAAAATACTTCTGTTGGACATCTGTAGACAGCAGACTGATGAAATATATATAGAGTATTATGGAGAGAGGTTAGTCGTAGTGTACATTTTGCCCCACTGTTACATGGGCCAATGTCTTCTCTGCTTGTTTCCCATCAGTAGGTCAGCCTGCACAGAGATCAGGAGCCTGCCGCCCAATAAGCTCAACAGGTATTTTTGCACAACAAGCACTATTCGAAACATAATTGCACCTTGGGATTGTAGAATTTCCAGGATAGTGTGGTTATGGACATCTTTTATCTTCTTATAATACATTCCTTGTAGTTCTTGGAAGAGAGAAAGTGTGATCATTTATTTGGCACCATTTGACTTTTGGTGAAAAATTACAAGTAAAAAATTGGTACTAGGACATTGCACATAACTAACTAATTCCATGGAGCTGAGCCCTCCTTGAAACACCACCAGTCACTCAGCTGCTCAAGAATTTCCCAACGTTTTGTGAAACCCAAGAAGTCATTACTATGTTCGCAAGAGCCATCCAATGGACCCTGTCCTGAGTTGGATCAATCCAGTCTGTACTCCCCTAACTCTCTAAGATCCATCTTAATAATATCCTCCCACCAACATCTAGGTCTTCCTAGTGGTCTGTTTCCTTCTGGCTTTCATTCCAAGGTCCTATCTGCAGCTTTCTTCATCCTCATGCATGCTACATGCCCTGCCAATCTCATCCTCCATGACATGCTCTTTTTAATTATACTTGGCACATAATGCAAGTTATTAAGCTCCTTGTTATGCAGTTTTCTACAACCCACTGCCATTTCATCCTTCTTTGGTCTAAACATTCTCCTTAGCACCTTGTTTGCAAACCTCCTCAGTCTATGTTCCTTATGCCAGAGAACAAGTTTCACACCCACACAAAACTACAGGAAAAACTGTAGTTCTGTATATTCTAATTTTTAAGTTCTTATACAGCAGACAAGAATGTGAAAGGTTCTAAATTAAATAATAGCAAGCATTACCTGAACTTGCCCTCCTCGTAATTTCTTCCTGAATCAAATTTCCATTTTTTTTTCTGTCAGACCTCTGATGACTCCAAATAATACTCCAAGATTCTGTTTTCACAGAAGAGGCACAAGAATGCAAACCATATTGGTTCAAGATCTTAAATATTAGACATTAATAAGATTTAAATCCAAATAATTGTAAATAACTTTTTATATAGGGACTTCAAAGTATGTATTATGAACTTTGTAAAAGTAGTTCCCAAACATTTTGATCTTATGCCTTCTGAAGATGGTCAACTGACGGAAACATGTGAAGGCAATAAATATCTACAAATTGAATCACACTGGATGATATTAATAATTGTTCTATAATTTATCCATACAGACTTTACTGTAGGCTGCATTTAAACACATTTCAATCAGTCTAACTAGGTTTGTTGGGCACCACAAACTTGTGAGAATAGTGTACAATACTTCCTTCCTAACTGAATCATAGGCTTTCTTGAAGTCTGTGACCAGCTAGACATTCACTCACTGACTCACTCACTCACTCATGGAACTGAGCCCTTCTTGAGAAGCCAGCCAATTGTACAAATACTCAAGAACTCCCCAGAATTTTATGGTCCCTGAAGGTTCATTACCATGTTCACAAGAGCCCTCCACTGGTCCATATCCTGAGCCAGATCAATCCAATCCATACCATCCCATCCTCTAAGATCCATTTTAGTTTTGTCATGAGTTCATGGCTGCGTGACTAGTGACACCAAATTGTCACGTATCTTTGGTTGTAACCACTACAGAAGAATTCCATATGATGTGAGCTGCCAATTTCTGACACAAAATGTCACATGTAGGGTGGTACACGTGTTGAAATGATGGGTTCTTGTGGATGAGCAAGGACACTATTTTTATAATCTTTGCATTAGTTTAGAAATTCATTTGAAAGTTAATTAAAGAAGTGAATTAAACAATAAACAAACAATAGGAAGAATGGAAATACACTGCAGTGGCTGTAGTGTATGACTTTGCAAAGTAGATGACCATCACTTAACCTGTAGGTTCTTTTGTATGTTACATTTCCTTATGACTACATTGGACAAGTATCAGATCAAATGATTACACTTCCTCTTCCATTCCCTATGCATGTGCTTATTTTGAACTTACACTATACAGGTGATGAAGTAACCAAGTGGAGATTTCCGTTTTATTTTGTGTAACTCTGGACAATCATGTATTCAATTCTTACAAAATCCTTTGTTCTTTAGTAATGATAATGGGCTCATTTAGAAAGGTGTGAAGTACAGTCTCACTAACCTATATTATAGGCATGTTTGGAAACTACTTTTTCATTGTATCTACTAATAAAAATATCTTGAGTAAACCACATGAATTTATTGTGCATGTTTTGTTTTTATAATTGTAAATTATTATTGTGAATAAATGTCTGCAAATTTATATTAACGTCGCAAGTTTCCTAGGTAACGCGACAAGAACCACTGGGTTTCACATTAGACGAACTGGACAATTCTCTGTTTACACTCACAGTTATAATCACTCTCAGTAATGCCTTTCACGTTCCCTCTTCAATGGCTATACTCATGCACTGCTATTCTTGGTGGAGCCTTTGTTCTTGGTTCTTCCCTTATCGCTTGTTGAATCTTCTTGAACAGTGTTCACTACTCTATATAGGCTCAGCACAGACCACCCACAGAAAATACATTGCTGCTCGGCAACGGATTTCATGTACTGTTGTCAGGCATGTCTACCCATGCATTGCATAGCAATGGACATCCTAATTTTGCGCATTCATTGCTGTGGGAACTGAACAACTCGGCCTCTGTTGCTTAAGCACTTCCTTAGACAACGGTCTGTTTATGTTTTGTTACCTAGGAATTGCTAGCCGTTGACCAGCAGTGGACATTCTACAGTCTGGCCTTCCTGGCAGCACACCACATTAATATAAGCATCATTTTAGCTACTTGGACCATTATGATAACAGTAATGAACCATTGACACTAAACTGGAAGATGATGTTCCTTTCGCAGAAATACATTTTGTTCAATGAAAGTTCCTGGTTGAACATTGGCGTCTAAGAGAGATGAAGTAATGAGAGACTGGTGATTTTCACATAATTAGGAGCCTCATATTTTGTATGTGTTTTCTTCAGCAATTGTGGATTACATTGACATTTTTCGCATTTGAAACACTTTCATGGATATAGAGAAATTCATCACAAAACTATATATATACTGGCAACACAGAAAAGCTGTTCAGTGCCATGATCCAGTGTCTTAGTAGTCAGAGACCTCACTTGCTTTAATTTGTACTTTTACCATAATATTAACAGTAATTGAGTCAAGAAGGATGAGGTGGGTGGGACATGTAATCCACAGGGGGAAATAAGGTATACATGTGAGTATAAAATTTAGAATCTACATATAAAATATTGTTTGGTGTATCTTAATAGAAGAGATCATTTTGGACACTTGAGTGTATATAGGATGATATTATTAAATTGCTTCTCAAAGAAGTAAGGTGTGGAGATGTGAATTGTACTAAAAAAGGGGTCCAGTGCATTTTTGTTAACTTGCTGAAAAACATTTAGGTTCCATTGAAGCAACTGGGAAGTTTGTTGACTAGCTGATTGTGAATGGCTCAGGGAAGATTTGTGAACTTGAATTTTGTTTTTTTTTTTTAAATAGTGTAATGCTACAATTTACATTCCTTGATTTGTTATGTTGTTAGCCAATAGAAGTACTCTTTGAAGACTCTGAATTTTAGTTAAATCAATTGAGGTATTATACAGAAACACTTCATCAGTTTCTGAGGTCATGTAGCACTGCACAGGATATGATGAAGGTAAATTTATTAGCAGCCATACAATGTATATGAAAATGTCTTATGCTCAAAGAACTGGAGGTACTTAACAATCAAATGGAGGAAGGACTTTAACATTTCTTTTCTCTGCTACTTCTGAACAGTATTATAATACAAGGCAAACATGTGGAGCAGTTACACTCAATTATTCTGTTACACTTATTAATTGGACTGACTGTTTTGATGTAAAAGAAACTGTATTAAATTGTAGGATTCTCATCTATAATTAAGACAATATTTTTAAAGTATACATATTTGTATCCCTGGCTCCTAAATGTTTGGGTGGCTTTATAGATTGTCCCTACTAGCAAACACATAGGGTCATTACTGTTTTATAATAAATTTGAAGTTGTCCCAGTGGTTAATTAAGCACCATGCTAGGAAGACATAGGTGAGGGTGGAGGTATGGCTTCATGTATTCTTAACCTCAGCACCAGATGTAATTGTGTGGTCACCATTACACTTTGGCTGTTTTACCCCTGGGGAAACAGCCCTCAGTACTGCTAAGATAGGAGGTTTGATGAACTCTAGAATCAGTCTGGACACTATAGAAATAAGGATAATCTCTTGCTCCTGTCAGGAATCTAACCACAGTTTCTGAGCCAAGAAGTCCATAGCAAACCTCTGTACAAACCAAGCTGTCCTGGCTAATTATAGAGAATTTGCGAGGAATCATTGTCAGTATCATATCCTGTTTTGATCAACAATTTGTTTTTTGTGTCTATGTAATATGAAATTACAGATATTATTATGAATGATGGTATGTGATAAGCCATTATAAGGAAGCATGGATTATTTTAAAGTTCTGTCCTAATAGCTACCTAGAGAGATGCAAGAATATCACTAGACTGTGATTCTACCTATCAATGTTATAATTGTTGAATATTTTATTGTCTAGACCAGGTTGCACATTGCAATGTCAGTTTGGATGTGACGAGTTCAATATCCAGTCCGGTTTCCGGACAATGGATCTGTGAAACCATGTAGCTATGTTATGTTATGTTATGTTATTCTTAGTGTAAATACTATGTGGCAAAGCAGAAGGTATATCAGTGGATCTAGATGTTTCTCTCTACCTGTATGTTGAAATGTAACATAATCTTTGTAATGTAATCTTTTGTATGCATGGTATTGCTTGTCTCCTTCGTAGTAGTGATGTGATTCTGTATTATTGCTTTCCTCACTGTATGTATGCATGCTACTTGTACACACAGCTATGCCAGTTCTTGATTACATCCAATGTGATATTTCACTACATCTAATGATGTTCTTCCTTGGAGACGAAAGAAGGGCATTCAGTATATTTGTGTAAGTGTAGCTGATTGTGCTCTTGAATTAGTGATTAATTCTTATGACTTGTATATTATGTGTAAGAAACAATATAAGTGCCATAAGAAAATTTTATGTGGAAACCGAGTAGCAATGAAGAACTTACAAGCATAGAATACTTTTCTCTATATTGTTTTCCACCAAATAGTACAAGAAGCAATAGGGCTCAGAGATATTGTTTCTATTTATATATGTTTTGGCACTTCTTTCTCATTGAAATTGTGCTGAACTCTTAGAGATAATCATTATACCTGTGTTTCATAGCTGCATAACATATTTTAGATATGTAGTGCCTTATGTGTGACTTCAGCTATTCATGTTCTTATTCAAGAGAATTTCTGAATGAAATAATTCAGTCTGATAATTATATTTCTGACTGAATAAGTTATGTATAGTTGAATAGACAATGAAGTGGGGTACATAATTATATAAATAATGTTTCAGATCAGAGTTGGTGAGGTCAGTGCAGGCAGCACAGGGCAAACAGAAGTATGACTTGTCCAAATGGAAATATTCTGAACTACGTGATACAATCAATACATCATGTGATATTGAGTTGCTGGAGGTGAGTGTCATTCCTGACATACTGAGCACATATCAGTCTTGAAGAGTACAAACTTCTAGTTCTGTAACACCATGTGCTTAGTTACAAGTCCAGTGATGTTTTTGAGGAATGTATTACCTGCATATTTAGGGTAAAAAGGGTAAGCCAAGTAAGAAGTCAGCAGTAACAGGGCAGCAAACAGAGCAAGCCATGAATAGAAAACCTAGCATGATACAAGCCAGAAGGGAACCATGAGAGAGGCAGTGGCAGGATGACCGTTGTCTGTAACAGGGCTCAGAGAGAACCAGTAGGAGCAAAAGAGGAAAGGAAGAAAAAGTAAAGCAGGGGATAAAAAGAATGAGGCAAACCAAACTCCCTAACTATGTTACACTGGTGAGCAAGAGCATGTATATAATATTACTCAACAGACTATACAGTTGTAATTTCTCCTTGTCACAATGGTGAAAATTATGTGGACTACAAAATACTGAACAGGACCTTATTTTGAACAGCAAATCTGATAAAAAGAATCCCTTCTGGCATTGAAAGTGAGTTTGTTGAAGACAGCAATGATGAGTAACAGTAACCCAATGGAAGCAAATTAAAATTTTGTTAAAATGACAACCCACATGAAATTCTGGTGGTGGCCATCCTTTTAATGAAGGTCTCACTGAATTGATACAAGAGGCATTCCATGTGAACAGCAATTCTGCATCAACTACTTCCCTTCTCTTCATTCAAGTGTTCAACTTTTTATAGCAGAAAATAATATGTACAACAACCAGTATTTAGACTCTCTTGATAATAACAGACACTCATGACTTCCTGACAAGACCGTGCAGTTGTACATATTTTTATTTGTTATAATCATACACATGGTACATAGCATCAAGGATATGTTTAATTATTATCGGTCCACTTGTGGAACAGTTCTGTACCCCATTTTACAGAAATAAAATGAAAGGGAATTTTTCAAATATCAGGATAATATGGGTCAACCAGAGAAGACTGGCCAAAAACTATGACAGGCTTTGGAGAAGTAAATCCCAATTTCATGAGTTGAATATTGCCCATGGTACAAGTAGATGTTATAGTTTGTGTGAACAATTAGCTGTGGCGAGGATCATGGTGCTTTTCAAAGGGAGAGTTACTTCCAAACTGTGCATTTCTAAGTAGTATTAAGGTTTACAAATTGTGTTATATTACTGTTCCCAGCAGTGACTTGGTAACACAAACAAGATGGCCACATATTGATAAATACATGTAAGCTCTCAGCAGAAGGAAATGTCTGTGACAAATGTCAGGAAGCAAAAAAAACCTGTCATTGGTGTAGATTTCTGTTGGCATATGTGCTATGTTGACAAAGGGGGCAGAATGGTTAATAACTTTTCAGTTAGTCAGAGAACATGGAAGTAGGAGAGAAAAACTATTTCTTTCACCTATTAGATCAAATTATTGAATGCCTACAGCATCTATCATCCTGTAGTAGCTGAATAAGGCACCAAAATTATGACTGACTTTGGTTCAGAATTTATTGTAAATAAATGTAAGAGCAGCTCATCTTCAGTCCAGTCAAAGAGATGAATCAATCAATCTCACAAGCCAGTAAAATGACTCACCATGAATCTCTATATACTAACCCTTTTTCCAGCTGCAGAATCACAGTTGTGATGTCATATGTGCTCAGGCAAAATGAAACAAATGACTCAGATTTATTCCTTCATTGTGTGATGCTGACTTATGTATAGATCCAGGTTTTCATATATACCATACAAAAGAAAATTTCTAAATCAAAAGTTTTAACACAATATGGGGGGGAATATTCCAAAAAATGTAAATGCTCTGTATATTCAGATTTATATACATAATATTGTGACATGATTCCTGAGCACTGGAATAGTGAAGCAAGAAGAAATAACCAGTGCTAGGCAACAGTTAGGTAAATACACGTCCCAACAATGGATACACACACAGCAATAGAGGAACTGTTGGAAGCAGTGTTTTCCATGCAGTCCATGCTGAGGCGATGTAACGAGAGCCGAAGTATAAACGTCTGTCAGCATTTGACAGCAGTCAGTTGGAAGCCATGAGTCTACAGCCAAGGTCAGCACTTGCAGTTGGTGTTTAGCCATGAGCATGGAAGCAGATGAATCTCCAGTGTCAGGCCACTACCTAGTAATGACTAATGAAATCATAAGAGACTGAGAAGAATTTGTGTGCACTGTAGTGATTTATGGAGTGTGTAAGTTAGTGAGAGTTTTATAATTATTTGTAGTTATGAGTCATAAATATTCAATGAATCCAATTATCAATCCTAACAAGTGTCAATGTTTTAGTTTATTTAAATAATTTATAAATAGTTCTGAAAACCTCTTTTATAGCATTATGTAACATAATGACACTATAGAATACAGTGTTGTATTTTCTTTCAGACAAATTTTACTAAAATATTTTAGCTCTGTAGTTCCGAAGAAAAGTACATTATTTTAATACAAATAATATTAACACTTAACACTCCCCAGTTAAAACCTGGCCATGCATGAATGATGTATTACAAGAGATTTTAATCTCATATTTCTGCTCAATGAGGGTTAACCTAATGTGGTTCATTGTCTAATTTCAGGCATGCAGAATTGAATTTCACCGCCGGCTCAAAGTATATCATGCTTGGAAGGCTAAGAACAAAAGGAAAACAACAATGGATGAAAATGAACGAGCCCCTCGTTCTGTTATGGACGCTGGTATGTTTTTTACTGCCTAGTACTTTTTATAGCATTTTAATAATATGTGTTAAGTTGCTAGTTTAATTTAACTGAAGAGAAATAAAGGGACAGACTGGCCTTGTATTAGTATGGGAATTAGTATCTTGCCATGGAGGGGTCCACATACTCTACTTGCACTTTGGCATTAAATGCTTGAGTGGTTAGCCTTCACTCCTGGGACAGTGTCTTCATTGTGAAGTGGACTCAAGAGCTCTCTGGGTATTATGATGTTGGGAAAAGTTCTGTTGCATATAGTTGAATCCCAGTTATGAAGAGTTGGTATGTTCTAATACAATGTTGATGTCCCTATTGTACTGACAGCTTTAAAAAATGCTTGTCTCATGGGGGTCAATACTTAAATTAATTAAAGAATCTAAAAACTACTGAGTGGAGTGTAAGGTTCAGAAAATACTGACTAGTTATTCTGCTGAAAAAAAAAAGTTTGAATTGAAGGCGATACTAATAAATACACTAGAAATATAAGGTTTTCTTAATATTTTGACTTGCAAGGATATAATATATATTTCTTTTCCTTGGCACTACAGCCCCAGTGTGCCTAGGCCTACCTCCATAAACTTCTCTGTTCACTATAATATATACATATATATATATTAAAACTGTTTGCTACTGTCATTTAATCATTCTTCATTTGAACTAATTAGGAGAACCGTAATTGTTAATTTCAGCTACTAGAGTTCCTCGTGCTGCTGTTAAGACACCAATAAACATAACTTCACAGCGGTATTTCCGTATTCCTTTCGTCCGCTCAACAGCAGCTAACAACTTAACAGGAGGGAATGAGTCTACTTCAGGGAACAAGCGGGGTTGGTGGTATGCTCATTTTGATGGACAGTATGTAGCCCGGCAGATGGAGCTACACCCCGAGAAGCCTGCCATCCTTCTTGTAGCTGGTGAGTAAATCGCTTTAATTTATGTGATATATTTCTGAAATTCCATTTTGGTACAAAAGTTATATATACAATGTCTTGAAGCACTTATTTTTGTCGTTATGCTCATAAATCATATTTCATTCAAGAAGGATTGCAATTTAGAAGATTATATCAAGAGAAGTTCCAGGTAAGAGAAAGTATAATTTTGAATGTAACATTCATGTACTGTGGTAGTGTTGCTCATGTTTTTCTTTTTTCTTTCATTTGTCCTCAAAATAAGACTCTGCATGCAACTTTTCTATGGCAGCTTAATTTTTATCTCAACTACGTGTTTTTGTATATTATATATGGGATTAGATACAAAACTTTTTAATTTTAAACAGAGTTTTTTATTCATTGCTAAGAAAAAGTTGTATGAAATAAGACTGTCAAGAATTATTTTAGGTCCTTTTGACCCGTTTTTGACAATGTATTAACTATACCGCATATGCTGCTTCACATAACCCCTGGGGGTACATGTACCCCAGTTCAGAAACATTGTATTGTGTGATGATAAGTTTTTTTTGTTATTGTAGGTGTTGATGATATGCAGATGTGTGAACTGAGTCTGGATGAAACAGGACTCACAAGGAAGCGTGGTGCTGAGATTCTTGAACATGAATTTAACAGAGAATGGGAACGGCACGGGGGGAAGGAATATGTGGCACCAGCTAACCGTAAGAAGTAGACCATGCAGAAATGTAGGAATGACAATTGTATGTACCCAAATTGCTGAATTATACATCTGAATAACGATGGGGATTCTCCTAGAATTAGATAAGAGGTGATGGAGGTGGTCCGAAATATAGACGAAAGGATAACATAGTTCCTTGTCTTTTATTCTAAGAAGCAATGTGAAATGACAGAAAATTGTTTGTTACAGCCTGTTAAAAATATACTGCTTGTATATAGTCTGTCAAAATGTGATATAAGATAGAAATGCCAGAAGTGAATTTCAGCAAAATGTTTGGATAAACTTCTGAAGTTAAATAAATGGTTTGGATGACTAGTGCACAAATGAAATGGATAAACTAGGTAATGTCTAGTTTGATTGGCAGATGTAATAGTAAGTGTGTGTAATATGATAGCCCATTTATATTAATTTATTGATATAAATTTATAAAATCTGAGTATAAAACCAATTATGCCATGTCTGATCTATTTTTAATCCACAATTTCCAAGCAAGCCTAGTCATGCATGTCATTATATATATGAAATGTGCTTGGAAATTCATATATATAACCATAAATGATTTTACTGAAGGATAACACATACCCCACATCATACTGTGTACAATTATAAAGTCGGCATTGTTTTGAAGCATAGGGTGATTTAAGATTTCTCGTCCTAGGCTCCTCTGAGCCTATGCACATAAATCCCTGTCAAACTCAAGAGGAAAATGTGTTAGTTTCTGTCTTCTGAGAAGAAATGAGACACAAGGCTTGTAGGGAGTGGAATTCCCACCCCTGTGGCTGTATTTATGTCAGTGATCAAATAGTAGTGAGAGAGAATTATTATGTTCAGTCTTCTATATTCACTTTGAGAAACTGCATTAATTGTTCCTTCCATAACATACAGATTGATCCCTGGTAAACTCTCTTGAGCTGAATGAGCAAATTTGATATATATTTGTGAAATTTTGCAATAGTTTTCATTCAGAGTACTTTTTTACAGTTAAAACTTGAGCATAATTAGAAAAGTTATAAACACTTGCACAATTTTTTTTTGTGCATAAACATCCCTTAAATTATATGTGTTCTTAAGTGGCATAACATAACCTATTCCTGAGTTATGCAATGAAAGAACTGCCAAACTTTCTACGGCATATTTAATTAAATTTAGTGGTACACTGACGATTCCATGTGTAAATGGATATACAGAAATATCCCAACACTGCATCTGTGATACTGTGTTTTTCAGTAACTGTTATTTCAATATAAGAAAATCATAGATTCAGACTAATATACCATTCATTGACAGAATATAATTATGTCATGCAATTGTCACTATGTCCTTATAAGCAACTCATCAAGTGAGTCTGTTACAGTGGACTTGAATAATAAATGACACATATATAAGAAAATAAATATGTTTGCAGCCAATATTATGGTAATTAGAACATTTTTTATGAGCATCATTATTTCCAATATAATTTTTCATTGTGGCTTATACTATTTGCATACGTCTTGCAAATATCCTTAAAATCAGAACATATCATCTTTTGTAAGCCTTGGAAAAGGAACTAATTTCAAACTTCCTATAGCTGCAATTAAAGAAATTATGAATGCAAAGTATCCAGAAATATTAAACACTATCAGTGTTCTTTATTAGCAAATTAATGTTTAAAATTAAATTGTGTAGGTCCTACATGTGTTGTGGAAGCTTATGAATACAAGGAATGGATGACTTTTTGCCACATTATTTATATTAGAAATACTGATAACAGTATTCAGTTTCTGATCTATATAGGTTAATAAATATTTCAGGGTTGTTTAGGAATAGAAAACAGTATTAAACTGTAGAGAGAATACAAAATACATTAAGTAAAAGAATGCACAAGCATGTAATGTTTCACTGAAATACTTAATTTTGATATAAACAATTACAAAACATACACTTTTTGTGCCTCTGTATTATTATACATAGACACTTAAAAGTAATGTAAGTACATAAGCTTTAAATGAAGTCTTAGATTATGCTTTGTGAAAGAGAAATTACAGTATGTTACTTATGAACCTTAAATAAAATGATAGTAGTAATAACAGTTTGTTTCCTTTAATTATGGATCTGTAAAATACTTAATGAGGATTTATTTGTGTATGTGTGCATGGAAGTGTGGGTGCCAGTGTTTATGTGTGTGCATGCTATGGCCATGGGCCATGGGTATAAGGAGTCATGGGTGGGTGTCTGCTTGCATATGTGGTGTCACACTTGTGTTTATGTGTGTCCACATGTGAATTTCCTTCCTTTATGCATGTGACTTAAAAATTCTTACTCCATAAGCCAAAATAGTTGAGTGAAGTTGGTTGGTTTCAGATGAATTTTAGTGTCTAAATGGTGGAAGATGCCGTATGGAAGGAAACTGAGTAGGAGCTGTTGGAAGACAGTGATAAATGGATAGTTGCTAGTCAGTCTTAGTCATACATGTCCCCTGGGTGGTGCAAAATGAGCAACAATCCTGGCAAAGCTTCCCAAAAGAAAAGTGCAAACTTCTTCAAGATGCAACAAAGCAAGAACTTGAGTGCTCTCTATTGGGAAGCAAGAAGCAAAATGGGTTAAATGATCTCAAATGCAGCCATTGGAAACCACGCAATCAACATGACCAACAAAGAGGACTGTCAAAGGAAGAAGAAGAAGATGTAGATAAGGGAAAAATTAGATACTGGACTCTGCACGATCAATTTATTTGAGTTCATGTAAACTAAAATTCAAATCAATGTAAAATAGGAAAAGGATGCTTATTGACAATTTGTAGCATCACACGTACATGTCTGCTGAATTTGATATTCATGTTTTTCATGATGGTCAATGTTCATATCACAGTCATCTGAGTAATGCCACCTTGCAATCTGGTTGGTGGATACTGGAAGACGAACATATGTCTTCATCTCCAGGGAGGGTGGGAGATGAAGACTGTGTTTTCCATTGAAATGTTGGTATCTATCTACCAGACTACTTTGTGATTTATTTTAGGACTTTTCAGTGGCCCTATACTACATGTCAAGTGACCTCATCATGGTGAATAATGAATTGAAGAAGATGTGGATTGAAGCAGTCATGGCTTAAATGAGGTACTATTCCAGAATTTGCTTAGAAGGACTGTAGAAGAACATGAAAACCATGTCAGAATAGGTGGTGTCCCAGCCAAGATTTTAACCAAGCAATACCAGCATAGAAGTCTAGAGCATTTTTGCTACACAGCCTCCTCAGTGACAGGGTGTCACTACTACATAAATATCTGCTGAAGAAGATGTTGATTGCTTGTTAAAATGGGGGGGGGGGGAAATATGGCACTGGTTTCCTTACAGTAATATTGTTCCCACTAATTCTGAATTGAAACACTATTGCTGTATCATTTCAGGAAGAGTTCAGTGTCACATTTCCATGCAGGGATTACATAAATCATGAATATTTTACCTCTATACCTACTACAAAATACCATCTTTGCTACAAGAATTTTTTTTATTATGTTAGAACTCTGTTATCATGAATTATACAAGTTAGTAGTAAAGATAATAATTACAAAGGTCAGGAGCTTCCATTATGTGGTGTACAATAGTTTGTATTGTTAAGGTGTGCTGACAGTCACGGCCAGTCGACAAGATGCTTTACTGGTGTATTATAACATGTTCAGATAGCACACACTGAGATTATGGCTTTTCTGCATTGGCTGTGACTGGCTCCTGTGACTCCAAGTATAACACACGCAGTCACAGGAGCAAGACACAACACAAAGCACAATACACACAAGAAAGTAGGAAGAATACTCCGATAGAAGAAGATAGGTGTGACTCGCGTATTGAGATACGACATAAGGATGACAAATCCTGAACAGTTTTAATATTTTTAATATTTAAAATTTATCAATATATATGACGAATATATATTTTAGTATAAAGACAACAGGGCATGCAATGAAGTAGTTTGACGTACACCGAAAAGCACCTGAAGATGGCACTTTTGTGCTGAAACATGTAGTGCAAGAGAGAAGAGTAAGGTGAATAAATGTATGCACTGTAAGACGGTTAGAATAAATCACGGACATAAATCAGTGCAACAGGACGCTAAAATATAACATTATCTTTACTACCTTTAAAGATTCTTAGTATGGCAAGTGATGCTACTTCACTACTTCACATCAGTGGTGTTGAGACATATGCACTGAAGTCCTATAAAACTCAATTCAATCTTTTAAAGGAATTATGTTACAGTCAATTATAAATTATTCAAGACTAATTATGTCAAGAGTTTATCTTTTCAGAAGACGTATGGACAAAATAATAATCTGAAGCGGCCTCCGTAGTCTAGAGGTAACATTCCCACCTCATGACTCGTGGTATGCAGGTTCAAATACCCGGCGGAGGTCATCGAATTTTTAAGGGCGGAAAAATTCAGGGAACAAGTCCTCCGGGAGGGACTTTAAGCTGTGTGTCCCGTGTCATAACTTTATGGCACGTAAAAGAACCTCATATCTCCAAAAGAGATCACTGAGCCGAATTCCAGGACGTTTCCTGCCCAACAATAGTCTCTAAGGCCTCTGATAGATGGGGGAAGCATTATAGACATCGCTAAGCAAGTGGCCGAACTCGCTTGCTCGGCGGGACTGATGGTATGAACCATTATCGGTAGGGTATAGAGACTGGTAGAATATCATAGAGGGAAGCACAATGGACCAATACTGGTCTCAGTGCATGGGGAAACCCAACCTCTCCAATCACTAACTAAATAATCATCTTGGTAATACACATAGACTTGAATTCAGTTAAAACTAAATTTTATTTGAAACTCCTATTTTCTTAAAGAGTTCTGTTACTTATATCTTTTACTGAATCAGGTATGTGCAGAGACTTTATGAAAAGAATACGTAAAGTATACTAACCCCTGTATAACAAAGGCTGAATATTTGCCTTATAGGAATAGGCACATATGATGAGTTGAAACTTATTCAATAACCATTGTGGATGAGCAGAGTAGGACAATAGGATCAGAGGGGGAAATGCTTACACAAGTTTTTGTGTTTTGTTGAATTCAAGTTTGAACTTTAGAAAGTAAAACAAAAGTTACAACCTTTTATAATAATTATATTTATTCTGCAATTTACATTCATGTTGAAATTGATAATGTAATATCTAAGTGGTACAGTACCCAGTATTGAATAGTATATTTAAACAAGAGGATTTAAATTTTTAATACGTTCTTGATTTGGGTTTCTAAATGGGAAGGATGTATGTATTTTCAACAGCCTTATGTCTTCAGTGTTAATGTTTTTCAGAAGTGTATCATATTTTATCTTCTTTGGAAATGTTCCGTATGTCCTTCACTGAAGATTAGGCCACAAAATCTATTTAAATTAGCCTATGGATTAGAGATAAATTTTAAACAAAATAAACACTTTCAAGTTTATTTGCAACCACAGCCATAATTGTAACATAAATTAATAATGTCTGCTACTTTGTGAAAGCGTACACAAAGTCACAACTTTTATCACTTCCCTATGTCACATATCAAACATATGCTCTCTCTACATGAAAAGCAAAGCCCATTGTATGCATTAACTTTGTGTATAACTAAATGCAGTCAAATTACAGTCATTTTGTTTCATTCACTTAGTTGTATTTTCCAGAGGGCTGTGCTGTGGGAGGTATCCAGCCACCCAGATCTTTCTCCAGAGCTTCTGCAACTGCAAGACATAGCCTATCTTGACTGGGGGCTGCTACTATCTGTAACGCATAGAAAAGTCACTTGTGGGGGAACAACATAAGCAATGAATCTTATGTTATAAAATGTTATATAATTCATATAATAATTTAATTTACTTAATGAAACACTTAAGATTAAAAGCATAAACTAATTATATTTATATGTGAGAGATAAATGAGATGGCAAAGATAATGACTTCTACATTTCTCACATTATTGTTAAATATTTAAATCAAGGAGATTAGAAATGTCTGAACGTGTTACTTAGACATGGAAAAGAAATTCTATCCAAAAAATGATTAGCTACATGCTGTAGCCAAGAAATGATATAACTTTCATGCATTCATCATTGCATATAATAGCATTTCAGTACCTATGATTTCACACGGGTTTTGGACTGATCTAATTTTTCATACAGTTAAATGTTGCTTACCTGAATACCTATAGGCATGCCTTCCTTATTGAATCCAAGAGGAACATGTGTTGATGGTAATCCCAATACATTAAATATCATTGCATACATGATTCCAGCAGTTTTTGTGAACATTTCATTATGGTAATAGGCAGCAGTAGGATGTGTTGGGTATAAGAATATGCCATTGTCACCAAGAATATCCTGGAATCAAGACTGAAATTAAAACAAACCATAGTCATAAAGCTCAAATATAACAGAACTTCATGAAAATATCTTCTTACTGTAAATTTTTTCTTTAGAGCTTCATTCTGATCATAATAATATTTGTACTTCCACTTTGGAATGAATACATTTGTGACTTGCAGCACATAAAACATTAAGAGGGAAAATGAGTACTTTGATGCACCAATTAATGCCTTCAGTATTTCCAGGAACAAGCTATGTGACCCCTGAAACACACAAAACATTTATTTCAATCTCTTGCAATAAAAGACTTTAACTCCATTGAGCAGAATCATTCCTGAGAAGCTGACAGTTACTATTCTGTGCAAGAAATTTTCCACTGTTCATGAACTGTGAAGACCAATTACAGTGTTAGTAAAAGATTTGGTACCTTCTAAAGGCATTCTTTTATGACATCAGACATACTTTACTTACTCATTTCTTAATGGTTAGTGGAGATAAAGGTGACTGCAGAATACAAATGCCCACTTAAAACTACTTGCACCTGCACTGGTTGTCAAGATTCCTGAAGTCCTGTTTGATGCCTTGGTGGCATGCTGCTTTGGCACAAGACAAACTTAATTGTTCCATATTTTTTACTAGTATTCGTTTATATATCTGTGAAACTTGTGTTTTTACTGTGATTAAATGACAATACAACTCTATTTTTGGAGGAACCTTTTGCCTCCAGAACGCTGGAAGCCACCCACACGACTACTACATTTGAGTCTATGGATTAATGTTTAATATAACATACAAGTGCATGTGCATATATATAATTATCTATTTATTTATTTGTATTTTTTAGTTTAAGATCAACACTCTTAATGATTATATCAGGTGTACTGTATGTAGTTTTATCTAGCTGATATCTGACCTTGGGGTTCTCAGAATCTTCTAATGCATTTGGTATTCCTTGCAATCCAAAAAAGACTGAAATGCTTGTTTCTGCGGAAACTTCCATTTCTTTGAAATTTCCCTGGAAAAATAGAATATTCACAATTTATATAGATTGAAACAATCCTGTTTTAATTATAAAGAGCCAGATTTTGCTGAAGTAGTTAAGAAATTTTCAATCTTTATGGAATCTGATGGTTCATTACCATGTTCATAAGAGCCTGCCACTCATTTCTCTTCTGAGTTATATGAACCACATCACCACACCTTTTTCCTTCAAGTTCCGTTTCAACCTTGTTTTTCATCTGTACCTCAGCCCACCATGTGGCCTCCTCCCAGTAGATTTTTGGCCCAAACTTTTGTACAAGCCCAACCTATCTCATTCTTAAAGAACTGATTCCCCAAGTGGTATTTGTGGAGGTAATAAATTATGAAATTCTCAAATATTGTACTTCTAGACATTATCAATAATCCTGTTTTTATTTAGTTTTTCAGAGACTGGATCCTGTCTCCATCTTCAGGTGCAACCTACTCAGTTTGGCCCAGTAGATAGAGCTAGTCCCTATCTCTGGAGACAGGGACTAGCTCTCTCGATTTGGCCCAAGATGGAGACAGAATCCGGTTTCCAGTTACTGTGTGTTTTAAATAAAAACAGGACAATGGATAATGTCCAGAAATACAATATTTACATTAATATACCATTGTCACAAACTCTTAGATCTTATTTATGAAATTCTCCTTTATGCAGTCCTTTCCATCCTGTTACTACCTGTCTCGTAGATCCAGATATTTCCTTCAGCACCCTGTTCTCAAACACCTTCAGTCTACATTCATCCCTTAGGGTGAGAGATTTTACAGCAATACAAAACAAAGATGCATCTTATCAAAATTTCAAACATTTGATGTGTATTTAAAGAAGTGTTGTGAGTTCTATAAAAGATGCTGAAAAGCAATTGACATATTAATTACCAATTAAATCTTAGTTGCACACTCATTTGATCCTCATTTCTCAGTTAGTCGAATTGCAGTTTTATATTACAGTCTTACTAGTAGCTCAGTAATCAGTGTCATTTACATAATGCTGGCATATTTTTATTTCAATATTTTTTCTTCCAACTTTGATTTATATTTAAAATTTACAGTCTTTGAATATTCATTTTTGTTTACTTTTTAGTCCTATAAGTAAAGACTATCCATCATGTTTCTTTTTGTTTTAAAATTATTATTTCATACAAACCTGAAAGACCAACAGAATCTATTAAAATTAAATCAACAGATACCAACAGGAAGTTTATGTCAAAGAAAATAATAATTTTGCATTTGCAAATACATATGTTCTGAAATAACATTTATAATAACCATTTGTATTTTTCTTCTATAATCTTACCCCCAAATTTAAGAAAACATCTATCCATTATGCTTGACATTTGAGATTTTAGTGTGTATGATAATTTAAATATATTCTAGTCCCTTGACTTACTCTTTCAACTGATGTACCACATTTATTGTCTATAGTAAATGTTCTCATGTCAAAGTTACATCTTTGCTGGAAATGTCCTAGGCCTTATATAAATTTCCTGCCCTATTAATTAGTTCATTCCCAAATGAACCTTGTAATCATCCCATCATGAACTAATTACAGTATAATATTGTTATGTATTAGTGACTAGATGCAGGGTTTGGATTGGCAATTGGATTTACTGGACACTTGTAACTGGCAACTACAAATAATTATAATGCTATCAGTAATCTATTTACTTAAGAAACCACTTCTGCAAACAATAAGTCTTCTCAGTCTGCTATGTCTTCACTCTTCACTCTTCACTGCATGGTAGCAGCGCCCAACAGTGTCATATTCTGTTTAAGTTGTTGGCTTTCTACAATCTCACACCTGGTCCTCAACTGCCATTCATGTCCAGTTCAGTCAAGTAAATTGCTGCTGGTCCTCACAAACATAGCTGTTCTTGGTTTCGAGCTGCATCAGGACCCATAATATATATTTTTTCCAAGACTGTTTATGTGTTTGGAAATTGGATCTCCCCTTCGACAGCAGGAAAGGTTTGTCTTTATGAGTATGCAACTGGTTCTCATCTGACACTGCAGTTAAGCCACTCATGTCAAGTAAAAAGCACATTATGCCCGACTGTCAGCCAGTCAGTCAGTCTTGGTGTCAAGCCCCATCTGGAGCCCAAGACTACATTTTTGTTGCTGTCAGACAGTTGAAGTTTTGTTGATGTGAGGCACCCTCTCTGACAAGAAGTCAGGTCTGTCATTTACCACAGTCATAGTCGTTAGTACACGTCGTCTATATTTACAATTTTATATGTCAGCATTCTGCATATTCAGTCAGTTGTCAAGAGTCCAGTTCTTTGTAGATACCTACTGTTTACAGTTTTACATGTAGTTAGTATGTATGTGCAATATATACAATATATCTTTGTCTGAGTCATCATATCACAATATGTGAAAAGAACAGCCTGTTTACTGTACAGAATTATTTCTGAAATTTCAGTGTGGTAAGTTAGGGCTGACTATTTTCTGAATGGCAGAAGTATGCTAAAATTTTATATAAATTACCAAGCACAGTGTTTGAATTTTCTTCTACATGATTAGTTATTTTGGTAAATCTGAATCTTACCCCTGTTGCTGGCATACCATACTTTCTATTAAGGTGTTTTGTGACTGTGTGGATGGCATCTTTGATGTCTTGTTCTACAGGCAACAAGGCCAGAGATTTTCCTGCTTCAGTCATATAAAACACCTTCAAATTATGAAGATCCACCTGAAAGTGACACTTAATGTCAATGGCTTTATCAGAATGTCTGGCTTTATTACATTAAAGCAATTCAAACATGGTCACAGGTCATATCTTGAACATAATTCTACTGGGTGTGGTAAAAAAACGTGTTTGTAATACATGGAACTCTCTGTTAACTGTGGTAATGGAGGGGAGCGGTACTATGGATTGAGAACAATAAATAATCCAAAAATCTGGAAATACCCACTATCCACGCTGTATTCAACGTGGAAAATTATTTCATTATTACTCACTGATTTGCTAAACAGGGATAAAAAAGAAGATTAACAACACTCATTCTCTGGTAGCATAGGAGAAAAAAGCAATGAAATAATAAATTAGAAGTTGCAATAGCTTGCAAAGATATACAGTCTACTGCAAATCATTGCAAAGCATCACCGGTACATACTGTCTTCCTGAAGCAGATGTAAGGGACAACATTTAAATCATTATGGGAAGCTTTAATGAATAACTAATGGGTTTTAAGTCTCACAGCTAATCTGCACAATATAACTGACAAGCCATTATAAATCACAACATAAACAGACAGTGAGGAGGAAGAATTTTTAAATTTAAATCTTGCTGAGATGTTTTGTCATGCAGGTTATATTTGCCCACATACATACAACTGGCAGAATATATGACAAAAATTTGTGCACATTGTGGTTTCAGGAATATTAAAATATTATGCATGTGTTCAAATATACGGGATGTCCAGATGAAAGGTATCTAAAATAAAAAATGTATATATCTCAGAAACTAATTGTCATATGCCTATCTGATTTATGTCATCAGATATGAAGACTGAAAGTTTTTTAAGGCCAGCTTACTTGCATGCACCAGCTGGTGACCTTCGGCAAGCTCACTACTGGTGTCAACACCACAAGAACAGGTTCAATGCATGTTTTGGCTAGCAGAGTTGCAATCTCTTACAGCTGTCCAACATCGTTTTAGAACGCAATATGGAAGTCAACTTCCTACATGGAAAAGCATTCAGTTCTGGGACGATAAACTGAGTGCTACAGGTAGTCTGCTGCATGTAAAATCTCCTGGAAACACACGGACCTTTGAAGAAAACGTCAAATGCATGAGAGAGGCATTCCAGTGAAGTCCATGCAAATCAATTCGTGATGCTAGCTTGCAGTTACAAATTCTACTTTCAGTGATGCATGATGTGTTACACCAGAGGCTCCACCCAAAAGCATACAAGATTCAAATAATTAGTGCACTAAAAGTGAGTGACCAATTAGCACACACAAACTTTGCTGTGGACATGCTAGAAAGAACTACCACATCACCTGATTTCCTTCACCAAGCGTGCTTCTCATACGAATAAACCTTCCATGTCAGTGGAGTTGTAAACAGGTACAACTGCAGGATTTGTGCAGTCAAGATCACATGTCACATGTGAGTTGGAGAGAGGCAGCCCCAAAGTAAACGTGTGGGCCGGCTTAATGCACGACAAGTTGATTGGACCGTTTTTCTTTTCGGAAAGACTGTGACCAGACGTTTGTACTTGGACATGCTGGAGCTGTATTCGCTGCCCCAATTACCACCGCATACTATCCTCCAACAAGATGGGGCACCATCACATTTCTGCCACCATGTTAGGAATCACCTGGACAATAGATGACTGGGAGATTGTTTGGCAGATGTGGACCAATCACTTAGCGTCTTAGGTCTCCAGATTTAACCCCACTGAAATTTTTCTTGTGGGGTTATATCAAGAATAGTATCTGTCAGGTTAAGATCAACGTCTTTAACACCTGATACCCTGCATAAGGGACGCTGTGGCTATGGTAACACCACACATGCTTCATGAAATGTGGAAGAAAGTTGAATATCATCTGGATATATGTCACCAAGGGAGCCCACATTGAAATTTATTTAGAAAGTTATATATTGTACTCAGAAAAAGCTTTGCTGATTTCCTTTGTAATGGTGTAACTCATAAATGTGTATAATAAATGCTTCCTGAGATATAATTATTTTATTTTGGATACATTTCATCCGGACACCCTGTAATGTGTTTGCCTTCTTGGGAGCTGCTTTCATTACTGAAAGAATATTAAAACATGACCAGCCTTCCCAGTGTTATGCTGATGGCATATATGGTATATTGTTAGAGATTTTCACACATGTCTTTTACCCCTGGATTGAAATTTCAAAAGTTATTTTATGACCTTGCCAAGCAGGGCTGGTGCAAGCCTAAATGCAGCCACAAGTGATGAGAGTAGCACCCTCTTCTTAATTAAGAGAACTTATCTTTCTCAAAATTGTCTCTTAGTAATAAACATTCTCGGACGTTATGACGGAACCTACCATCGGTGGCTTAATGCTTAACAAATGAGTTATAGAAACAATAATAAAAATACTGTGTCATCTGGTCACTGGCAGCTTGTGATTACAGAATTATGTCACAGTGACATTTTACACTTGATGTTTACATTGCTGCAAAGTGTGTTTATGTAACAGCCAGTCAACTGTAAATTACAAACAAGTGAAGAGCATAAATTAATTTTCATTTAATAAAATTACAATGTTATTTATTTGTATTTTTTAGTTTAAGATCACATGTGATATCCCATGTGACTGCTTGGTTCACCTGTCATGTCATGTCAGCCCTGCTGTCATGTTACCTCTTTTAGTGAGTTCTTTCCAGCTTCTTTGTGACGGTGTATAAAGCTGTTTAAGAAAAGGGTGTATCTTGCTATCCATCTTAAGAAACCCATTTCTCTATGTCATTTTTCTCTTTACTCCACGTTTTGCTACCATGTGATATTTGTATATTTACTATATATTTGCAGTTAAAAATTTACCCTGAAGATAATTCGAAATTTTCATCATCCTTCTGCAGAAAATAAAATTCTGTAGTGTAATAATGAATGCATAATATTTGTGTTGTGCCGGTCACGGTAGCCAAGCGGTCTAAGGCATGCACTGTCTTCGCTCGCTTCGAAGCTGGGATCATGGGTTCGAATCCCACTCAGGGCATGGATGTTTGTGTGCGTTTTTCTGTGTTTGTCTACAGGTAGAGGCCTTGCGACGAGCTGATCACTCACCCAAGGAGTCCTACCGTATGTGTGAGATCTAGAAAAACCGAAGTGAACAGAGTCCATGGAGGTAGGCCTTGGCCCACTGGGGCTGTAGTGCCAAGGAAAAAAAAAAAATATGTGTTGTGATCTTAGTTCATGCAGTTACTTTCTACAGCTTAAACGATTGATTTCGTGAATCAATACTGCATTTATGCAAGGATATGAATGATTTTTCATAGTGCTTGCTGTTCATTAGAAGACCTGAACTAGAATGTGTTTTAATTGGCTACCAAATTGAAGAAGAAAATGAGGTAAAAAAGGGATTAATGTTTCTAAGTCACACAAATTCTTGTGCTGATAGATGAACCATCATGATATTACTGCAAAACCATTAGATAATTTAGCATCTGTTTCTCTGTAAGTGCCTCTCGTCAGTAAATTTAATTCCAATTCCTTTAACATTAGAATTACCTTCTCATATAATTTAAGTCTGGAAGCCTTATCTCCTGCCATAACAGACATCATGGGTTTAAGATCTTTGGCATATCGAGCAATTGGCCCTACCACAAGATACTTCTGGAAGTCTATATCTGTTGCATATGGGAAGTGGCCATCAATAGACACATAACCTGAATACAGGAAGAAATAATAAAATTTGTATTCAAATTTCACAAACAACATAGTATTCTTTTTGTACTACCAAGTCAGTGCCTGAGCATGATGCCGACTGGTCAATTAGAGATCTAAAATTGAGTTAAGAATCCGCAAGACTAGAACCATCTGAGTAACTTCATAACATTACAGAGCATTAATATGTACAAAGAGAGAAAGAGAAACATATGTGCCTAAAATATTTTATGTCTTGTATTCCAGTATTTTAGCAGTAATAATTAATTTTTATTTTGTCATTGATAAATTTGATCTTATACAGCTCCTCCTACCTGGAGTTGGTTTGTGACCGAAGATACCATTGTACATTGCTGGTACACGGATAGAACCAGCCACATCAGAAGCTACACCAATCACTGATGCACCTGCACCTATTAATGCAGCCTTTAAGAAAATAAATTTAAAGGTTTTCACAATGGATTTTGTACCGTTGTTACACGCTGTGATTAAAAGTAATTTTGTAACCACTGTAACATTGCAACATAAAGGGATATTTGTTTGGTACCTCAGTATGTGTCCATCTCAGAGTAATCATCGGGGTGTACTTTTAACACAATCACTCAAGGTTTCTGCAAGATTTATTGTTCATCCTGAAAGCTTGTATTATAATTAGTAAAAACAGAAATGGTGCACTGCATTGAGTGTTATATTGACAGCATAATTTGGAAAGTCATTATGATATTTTATGTTGCAATTTGATAGGGCTTACTAAATTAGTTTCTATTTAAAAGCATTAAATTTATGTTATTCTTCAGAAACATTTTCAGTATGGACTACTATGGCACAGCGTGTTAATGGTTTAAATATTATATACAGTAAGAGATGATGTGAAAGGAATTACAGTATATATTAACATTAAGAAACAAGCGTGAGATATACGTAGTATATGCGATTACAGCATCCTTGGGTATTATGTTCTTTGAAATACGAGTACAATTGTGTTCAATTTCTCAAAAAAGTTTCTTAACATCTAAAACTGTGCTTGAGGTAATTTCTTCAGTTTGGATCTATTCAACAAGATGATAACTGAGAAATGAGTTATTAGTTGAAAGGTATAATGACAAAACAGCAGATGAACACAATGTCACTATGTAGCATTCATAATTTTATACATAAACGTATAAGAACAGTAAAGTTGTTCTTGTACTTAATGAAGGACCAGACATACAAATTTTGGTGGAATAACTCCACACACATTCTTAGCCTTGGCACTAGTTAGAGACTATGGGCCAGTTTCACTCTCTAACTGCTTTATTAGTCTCTGGTATCCACCGAACACACTTTTTAAGTAAAGCTATTTCCACCACCTAAGCATCATAACTATCAGTCTCAATAACACGTATGTAGGAATGAGTCCCCAAATTTTAATTAAAACAATTTTATCTCCCTTACTTTTTCTAGTGATCTAGTGATCTGTTACCTAGTTCTCAATATTCACTTCTACCCCTGATTGTGTGCTCAGTTTCTGGAATGTGCCACAAAGGTGTGTATTTGAAAAGAAATCTTATATAGTACAACACAATATTTAGCGCAGGTCCATGAGCAGCTGTAAACTAATAGTATTTATGTTATTATATTTCTTTTGTTCGTGATGAGGAAGCCATAGAAACTTGCAAAGTACTTAAAAATATAGGCTGAAATGAAAAGGGAAGTAAAACAAAAGACATTACTTTTATATCCATTACTGTTTCACTAATTAAAACCCATGTAGTTAATAATGTATCGAAAAGTGTGTAGAAGTAGTAAATCCTACCAAAGCATTTTGAGATTCTTTGTATTGTTTCCATCAAGATATTCTTCTCTGTGCTCTTATATTCATATATCTCTTTATGATGCTATAACTATTACAGGGGATGTGTAATGATGGATGAGAAAAGGTACAGCAGTTTTGAACAAATAGCAGATGAATTGCCCACATGGGAGAGTAAGCAGTGAATATAAATCCACTTATTTTTAAGCTGTACTAGTAACCATGGTTCAACAACATTTCGATATTTTACCTCACCACCTGAAGAACCTCCCGAGGTTCTCAAGGGATTATAAGGATTCAGTGTCCTTCCAGTGACCAGATTAGTCGTTTCCAGGCTGAGACATAATTCTGGAGTGTTTGATACCAACAAAGGAATAGCACCAGCTTTTCTAATTAGTTTCACTGCCTCTCCATCTTTATCAGCCTTGATTCCACGCCTTGGCAAGGAACCTACACATTGGCTCATTCCTGATGAACAAAATGGAGGGTAATATTAGTTGCTACTATTATCTGTAGCCAATAAACAAAAACTTCAGTATTAAAGCATGCTGTTCATATTTATAACCCAAAATAATCTTCTACAATAGTAGGTTAATATATTGCTTTGAAGGACATATCCCTTATATATACAGGGCTACTATAAATGATTCATTCGTTTTTAAACGCTATATTTTCCAAAGCATTGCATGTACAAATATGATTGATATATAAAAAGAACCGTAAACTCACTAAGTTTTCTTCACACTCTACAAATGTTCTATGTGTGCCCCTTGGGTCACACAACACACATCCAGGCGGTAGTCGAGCTCGTTCCACACATTTTGTAGCATCATCCTGTCAATGGTCATCACTGCAGCATCGATGCGGTCCCTCAGCTCTACTAGTGTTCTTGGCAGTGGGGGTACGTAAACATGATTCTTAATGTAGCCCCAAAGGAAGAAGTCACAAGGCGTTAGATCAGGTGACCTGGGGGGCCAAGTGAACGGAGCTACGTCATCCTCACCAACACGCCCAATCCAGCGATGCCGAAGTTCATTGTTTAGGTAGCGACGAATATTGCCGATACCACCGCAAAATGCTTTGTTTACATAGTGGTTCTTTTCCGTACTCTCTTTTGAATGCACGTTGCACTGCTATAACAGACGAACATCTCGCATATTCCAACAGACAAAAACTTTTCTCTTGCGTTGTCGCCATTTTGTACAGGCACTGAACTCGTGCTGCCAACTGGTGCATACAAACAAACTTGGTGAGTTTACGGTTCTTTTTATATATCAATCATATTTGTTCGTGTAATACTTTGGAAAATATAGCTTTTTAAAAACGAATGAATTATTTATTGTAACCCTGTATAATAATCTTAACCTATGAGTGTTGTTAATACACACATTCCATTAGCATTTCATTAAAAACAAGAAAGAATCAATTCCAAATGTTTCTCACAGTGGTATACGACTGGATGTCTGGACGGTCTGGACTTCATCAATTGTCTAGTATTCTGAGCGGTACACAGTGTCTCTTAAATGACGTCAGGCGATAATATAGTGAGGTATCCAAAACATTTAAGAAATTTTCTCTCTTTTGTTCTCTTCATAGTGCTACACAACAAAGTCCAGAAACATAGTAATGCCAGGCAATAAGAAATGTAAAATATTTTTCTAAACATTTTACAAATGTTAGAGAGGCAGTATGGATGCTAGTATGGACAAAGTGGCGCTGGGTCAGGTTTTCTCCAAGTACTTCAGTTTCCCCTGCAAATCTTAATTCCACCAATTGCTCCACAATCACCCTCACCTGTCATCTGGGGCTGGTACAATAGGCCAGAAGTGGCTGCAGTGCAAGGGACTTAGTCCCACCCCACTAGCAATAAAAAAAATAAATGGATGCTAGTACATGACATAATTTAAAGCAAAGTGAAATACTCGTACGTCTCAGTTAATATGTTTATATTGTCACATGATAAAGTGACTATAGACACGGTTTGGATTGGTAATTATATTTATTGAACACTTACAGATCATAACTTTAACTAACTATAGCGCTATTGCTAATTCATGCACTCTACAATTTACTACAGCATGCACTAAGTCTTCTCCATCTGCTGTATCTTCACCAGTTTTTGTCTAGTAACAGCTTCAATGCTGTAGACTCCCCAACTTCCATGTTCACGTCCTTACTGGCCGGCAACTGTCTCACAACTAACTAAATTCTAGACCTGTCCTGCTTACAACACCTCAGCATGGACCACATAAAAAGCACTGCTTCCAACAGTTTTTTATTGTTGTGTCACATGGACAGCATGGAGAACACCTCCCAGTTTGTCCATTGGTGCATGTTAGGAATCTGTTACCTAACAATGGTCATTGTTCACAGAGCATTTACTTAGCAATGAGTCTACATCTACTACAATATTGCAAGAACAAGTGTCAATGATGGAAGAATTTCTTGGTTCATAAATTATTAGAAGATGGTGATAAAAATATCTCAGCTATGGACAGCTTTCTTAACTAAACATTATAGTAAAACAATTTCTTTCACTCTACCATTTCTTATAAATATTATCTCTGCCAATGGTGTCTCAAGAATTAATGCACTCATTTTGAGTGAGAATGCAGAATAAATGCAATATTCATACTTTGAAAAAAGTAAGTTTTTGCTGCTTCATTTTGAACTGCAAAATTATTTCAGTGTTGCTTCCCCTGTTAGTAACACTGTTGTGTCTGAAGTTGCATATAATGATCATTTTCTCTGTCTCAGAAAACCTATAAATACATGTGAAATTTGAGGATCCGATGACAGTGACTGCGAAGATTACTCTCTTTTGGAATGTGAAGACATGTGGCCTGATAAATCAAAACCAATAATTCAGAAGAATGCACTCCCTCCATCTCTTCATTGTATAAGGTGGAGGCAGTCTGTTACTCTGAAATCTTACTAACAGTCTACCAGACTTCATGGTGTAACAATCCAGAAGACAGTAATTCCCGTAAATGCACTCTGGGTAAATTGAAGAATTTCTTAACATTAAAGCAAGTTGTACATATAGTTAGCACTGTGCTTTAAAAGGGTAATATACATTTCACTAGGTGATATCTCTTCGCTAATTACTATTCTGTTATTTGTCAGAAAGTGAAGCAACTTTGCAATGAAAATTTGGAGAGTGAGTCTTACTGCGCTCAAAATAAATGTATCGCCACATCTCTGATTTTAGGTTAACAACAGTGGTGTAGTTTTTGAGAGAGCTTTGTAGTTCCATATTTTTATATATATGTCATGTATGCATAAGTAATCGTATGGGGGAGGGAGTGGGAGAGAGAAATGAAAATTAAATATATTTTTTGCTTTGAAATTGTGTCTGTGAGTAAAATGAAACCCTATCTTTGCTATTTTTCTAATAACGTTTGGAGGGAAAATCATATTTCTGGAACTACAAACATTTATTCATGAAGTGATATTGAATAGTTTCACTTATTTCAAACATTAAGATTCAGACCTATCAAAACTTGATTGTTCATAGAATGAAAATTTTGCTCATATATATGCATAAATGTGTAAAATATTTTTCCTTTGAGTGTTTACCAGCTTATTTTGTTTACAGCTTGTACACATATTTTGTTTTTTTCATTGGCATAGTCACAGAAACGTTTGAGAGAGTTTACTTGTATTTTCTTCTTCCTCTGTATTTAGAAGAGGCTATCAGTGCTTAAGAAGACAAGAACCCAGTAATTTTCTGATATTTACATAAGGTCTGGTCAAACACAAAAAGGAAATGGTTGTATAAGCATTTGATGTGGGTAAAGTACATCTACAGTATTTGTGCATACTTTACTGTATGTCATCAAATATTCTTTAAAAAGAAGTATGGGTATTATGTAAGTAATTATAGTATTCAGTCTGGCAGAAAGAAGTAGAATGGCTTCATGAACAACTTAATGTTCATAAATTTTGTGACTTTTACAGTAGTAAGAGGAATTTCATTTTTGATATACATATTTTCACATCATGAACAGTTTTCACGGAACAAATTCCCTTAACAAATTGAGGGATAACCGTATTTACTGTATTTGGCCTAATTCAGAACAGATTAGTCAGACGTAAGACTTTTTATTACATTCTGTTTGATGAAGCCTTTTGTTGAGAAATAAATCAAGAAACTGGATGTCAATGTCTTACATGTTTACAGAGTTATGGTTTACTTACGCAGTTGTGACAGATGAGAGAACTGTGTATTAATATATCTTATAAATTACTTTGTTCTTTGAAGTTATTCAGTCCCGTAGACTATCTTACTATCAGAAATGTATATCATCACTATTGTTTATTGAGTATTATATGAAATCTGACGGAATTTTCAGTATTTGTAACTGGCTTTCCATGGCATAGAACTCTTTATTTGGAATTAGAAATTTGGTAAATATAAGTGCTTGATATTATACAACCTCTGACACCACAGCTCTCCTTCACAGTGAATGGGACTCCAAGTAATGGTGTTTCTTTTTCAATTTCTTGCTCTGTTTTACAGTGTGAAGCTGTAAGTCTGTCAACTTCTTGAGCTTCTCGGAGGGCATCTGCATAGCGGTCTTCCACAACAGCATTGAGGTAAGGATTCACTTCTTTTATTCTTGCGATGTATGCTCGTACAACATCCTCACTGCTCAGCTAAAACATTTTTTTCCCCGCTGTATTAATATTTGCTTCCTGTACATTTAACTAATTCAGAAATATGTATTTGGATGTGCATAAATCAAAATCTTCACTCTCAGAAGGTACTAGAATTGAATTGAATTGAATTTATTTACATTCTATAAATCCTAAGTAGGTTAGTACCTTTGGATACAGAACAAGTCAAAAGGTTACATACATAAGTACAGGCAATTTTAGCTTAAAAATTAATATAACTTAATTTTACATCATTCTCTATTTACATTGAAGTATTCATCTAAAGAGTAGAAGGAATGAGCATGTAGATAATTCTTTAACTCTGATTTAAACTTTTTAGTNAGCGCGGCGCGCGCCGATAAGGAGAAAGGCTAGTTACGGTGAATGGCTGTCGAAAAGGCTAGTCGTTGAGCGCGGTCGTAAGAGTCATGA